GAATCTTGAGAAGGGTGTAAATGACCCTTTATATGAAACTCAATAAGAACAGAAGGCACACTTAGTGCTTACAACTCAGCCAACCTTCTTGTCGCGAGACAACTTTAAGTACAGTAAGTTCAAATGCAAAAAAATATACGCCAGCAATTAACACTGCTTCCGGTAATATTATATACAAGTCTAATTCTTTTTAACTTAAATCTTTAAACTGATGTCAAAATTTATTCGAGGATCTGTGTTTTTTACTTTAATAACAGTTATTATACAAGTGATAACTTTAATCACTCATTAAAATTAATTAATTTTATTAATAACCAAAAAATATTGTTAAACAATTTATTATTTATTAAACATTCAAAATTATTTTAAAATTTACTGAAAAATAACTTGAGATGATTCTAAATTTACTCATTGTTCCCCTTCACAGAATACGTTATCTAATTCATTTACGTCTTCTGAATAAATAAAAATATATTTAACCCTGTTCTTAAATTTGCCTTTCCGTAGAAGTCGATTTCAAATTTTGCTTTAAATGAAAGCTTTGCGGATTAAGCTTGGTCCTTACTATTATTCTTACATGAAGAATTTCTGAGTTTTCTATGTTCTAAAGATTCGAAAGTTTCGAGAACCTTTTAGGATTCAGATCAGAGAAAATAGTTCTTCGACAGTGCTTTTGTAAGTGAAGAGGTGTAAAATTTTTGTGGAGAAAGGGAGGATTGAAAAATGAGGAAAAATAGAGCAAAAAAATCAAAGCAAAATTCGAAGGTAAATTTCGTTTGGTACTTAATTTACTTGTACCACTTGCGTTTCCAATGAGTAATAATTATGCTTAGAATGGATGTTGACGAATATTGTACCATTCCAGAATAGAAAACTTTTTATAAAGTAAAATTTTACGTAATTTACTTGTATCACTTGCGTTTGCAATGAGTAATAATTCTGCTTAGAATGGATGTTGACGAATATTGTACCATTTCAGAATAGAAAACTTTCTATAAAGTAAAATTTTACGTAATTTACTTGTATCACTTGCGTTTGCAATGAGTAATAATTCTGCTTAGAATGGATGTTGACGAATATTGTACCATTCCAGAATAGAAAACTTTCTATAAAGTAAAATTTGACGTAATTTACTTGTATCATTTGCGTTTGCAATGAGTAATAATTCTGCTTAGAATGGATATTGACGAATATTGTACCATTCCAGAATAGAAAACTTTCTACAAAGTAAAATTTGACGTAATTTACTTGTATCATTTGCGTTTGCAATGAGTAATAATTCTGCTTAGAATGGATGTTGACGAATTTCGCACCGATTCCAGAATGAAAACTTTCTATAAGTAAAATTTTACTACTTTACTTGTATCGATTGAGTTAATTTCGCTTAGAATGAGATGCTGACGAATATTGTACCATTCAAATAGAAACTTTCTATAAGTAAATTTGACGTAATTTACTTGTATCATTGCGTTTGCAATGAGTAATAATTCTGCTTAGAATGGATATTGACAATATTGTACCATTCCAGAATAGAAAACTTTCTACAAAGTAAAATTTTACGTACTTTACTTGTATCGCTTGCGTTTGCATTGAGTTAATTCTGCTTAGAATGAGATGCTGACGAATATTGTACCATTTCAGAATAGAAAACTTCCTATTAAAGTAAAATTTTACGTAATTTACTTGTATCGCTTGCGTTTGCATTGAGTTAATTCTGCTTAGAATGAGATGCTGACGAATATTGTACCATTTCAGAATAGAAAACTTCCTATTAAAGTAAAATTTTACGTAATTTACTTGTATCACTTGCGTTTGCAATCAGTAATAATTCTGCTTAGAATGGATGTTGACGAATATTGTACCATTCCAGAATAGAAAACTTTCTATAAAGTAAAATTTTACGTAATTTACTTGTATCGCTTGCGTTTGCATTGAGTTAATTCTGCTTAGAATGGGATGTTGACGAATATTGTACCATTTCAGAATAGAAAACTTCCTATTAAAGTAAAATTTTACATAATTTACTTGATTCACTTGCGTTTGCAATGAGCAATAATTCTGCTTAGAATGGATGTTGACGAATATTGTACCATTCCAGAATAGAAAACTTTTTATAAAGTAAAATTTTGCAATACTGTTTTCCTCTATGCTTCTATCTGAATGGTCTAAGGATGGACTGTATAAAAAATATTGCTGTAAGAATTACTGTAGCTGGTTTCTTCCCAGCATAATGGTCTTCCTCTGCTATCGCTGCACTTCAGCGTCAAAAATTTCTGAACGACACATTGATGGGCACCTGAAAGAGACTCCTAGTCTGGGGTGTTTTTCGCGTCCATCGCCTTTCGTGACGGCAGATACTAATGAGCTGTCTTTCTGCGTCTCTTGTCACCTCAAAACCACGTTCGGGAGGGGCTAGCACGTGATCGAACAACTTTTATCCTCGCAAACTGCTGTCGATTTAAGAGGTCTGGAGACGTCTTTCGTGGCCGTCGATCAGACATTCATTTTACCTGCCACTTCTCTTGTCATTTTTCTTGGTACTTTCGTAGCCGACCTTTCCTTTATATGGTGTTAAAGCCGCTAAGACGGCAGCCCTCTTGAAAGTACCCTTGATTTATATCAAATAGATGCGTTCTTTTTTTTCTCTTCCTTCTCTCTGGATTTGCATAACATACCATTTATTACGAGTAATTCGTTGAGTTATGATACCGATAACAATCAAACGCGAAAATAGTTTTGCAAAATTTGTAATTACCTTAGACAGCTAAGAACCTGCAATAAGTAACAGGTAGTGTTTAGAATGCCTTCATGACGTCAAGGCAAAGATTTTGGCTTAATTGAATATTTATTATTATTGTGGTGATTTGATTTGCAATTTTCAGTAATTAGTTTTCAGTAATCAGTAATTTATTTTTCAGTATTTGGTTTTGTAGAGGTTTAAAATTAACCAGTTCTGTTTACCAATCAGGTACCATTAGAACTTAAGCTTGTAGAATCATTAGTGGTTATTTATTTATTTATTTATTGAAGCTGCATATGTGAAAAATGTACAATGCTCTCGCTCGGACTCGAACCTGAACCTGTCGAATACGCGCCGTGTGTGCTACCGTTACACCACGAAAGCATGTCGAAAGGAGGGAGAGAATACCTTACATACCCTCCCTTCTAAAGGGGGACGGGGGATTAAGGGACCCATTCGCCAAATCCTGGTGGTGACGAGTTATTATCCACTTCGGGCGCCAACTGAGGATTCATTAGGTTATTTCGAAGCAGCAGGCGTGAAAAATGTGAAATGTCCTCACCGTGACCCGAGCCTGAACCTCTGGAATACGCGCCGAGTTTGCTAGCGTTACACCATGAAGGCATGCTGGAAGGAGAGAGAAATTACCGTATAAGCTGTTAAAAAACGTTTCCTGTTATACAGTGAAGACTGGCTGAATTCACTGCTAAGCGTACTGTGTGATTTGCTTTTTTGTTTGAATTAGTTTTTATAGCATTTTAGTTTGGCTGCCGTCAATGGCTTAGTGGATTTGTTACATTTATTTTTGATTCCACTTTATGTTGTCAGAGTAATTTTTCCTTCGTTTCTTTACTGTATTTCATAACCATACTATCCTCGACCATTACTAAACCTTATTTGTATTCGCAATTGTTTTATTAACATATTGGGCCCATTATCTGCTGGACACTTACACCACGAGAGCACGCACGGAGGAATGATATAATTCCTCACATGCTTAATATTTTCTGCTAGGAAGTTAAAGTATTTGATGTGAAATTAAATAGGTTTTTATTTTATATCCAATTAAATGATAAATTATTAGATTTTTTTCATTATTTAAGACGAATATATTTTTCAGACGGACGTTTAAATCGGGAAGATGTCGTTATTATATTCAACATATACGCTATTTTATTCGTGGCCGACTTTTTCATTAAATATGATAATTATTTGAATATGGTAAAACACACGAGGGCTATCTGCCAAAGGGAAGAAATGCCTTCGTGGAAGACTTCGTGGCTTGTATTTAAATTAAATATGGGGGAAACCATGAAAATCAAGCATGCAGCCAGCTCGTTCGCCTGAATTCAAAACTACCAGTCTTCATCAGTCTCCAGCCGCTCAGCTTCGGGTGGGATGCAATTAAATAAAAGCTGCTTTTAAATTAAGTTCATCGTTCTTATTCTTTTAAACGTCACTTTTCTCTGCATTTCTTATTCTCTTCTTCACTTTCCTCTGCAATTCTTATTGTCTCTTTCACTTTCTTCTGCATTTCTTATTCTCTCCTTCACTTTCCTGCATTTCTTGTTCTTTTCAACATCAATTTTCTCTGCATTCTTATTTCTTTTCTGTTTGTAGAATCTAGAAACAGAAAAGTTTACGAAAATCCATGAATTTTTATGTTATATTTAGTTTAAAAGTCTTTCTTATATGATTCTTTTAATTCATTTTTGAAAAAGTATTTCGGTTACTTCATCTATAAAAAAAAATCGCGCAACAGAAAAAACATTTCTTTGAAAAGAAATTTACCTGTCTCTGATTAAATAATATTATAATGAAATCATACTAATTAAATGTATATAATTGTTAACAGTTATATAATATTTATAAATTGACAGATAATTGTAAATAAATGTTTATAATTATAAAATGAAATAAAAAATAGGAAAAATTTTATGTCCTATGCTCTGAGAATCACTGGTCTAGAGCCTAAAACAAGAAAATTAGAGAAGAAACGTCAGTATATCAACGTATTTGTTTTCGTGGATTACTAAGACCAATCGTTATATTGTCCTTTATCTTGATGACTGGGGTAGCTATTTTAACCAGCGTCAGTTCATTATAATTAGTTGACATGCTTCTATTATTATGTTTCAAGGAATTTATCTTAACTATTTCGATATTTCGTTTTTAATGGAACATTTGTGTAATTGGATATTGAGTGAATATTTCTTTAAAAAAAGGAAGTAAATCTTTTTTAATCTTTTTTATCTTTTAGGTCTTAATAGCTGATGAAGCAGAAGAATTCGAAGAAGTTGCTGTGGATGAAGGGAATCCTATTTTACCCGACATGCACTTGGATCCTTCAGAAAATCACGTATATGCAGCGTCTCCCTACAAAGTAAGTTTTATCCATGTCTGTCACTAGTTTTCTTATAGATTTTTAATCAAGTAAAATAAATATTTTTAAAATAAGGTACTACTTTAAATACCGGCTTTAGTTTTTTTTAAATAAATATTTATTTTAACAAAGCCTTGATAACTATTGTGCGATATTATGTTGTGGGTTTTTTTTTTTTTTTTTTTTTTTTTTTTTTTTTGTCATACGGCATGACAAGCTGATTCGTAGCGTAATGGAACGTTCCAGTTTTTGTTGTTCTACTTCAACACTGTATTGGAACTATATGAGTTATTAGACTTAGTGCAACTTTTGTAGTGCTTAAAAAATTACTTATCAGAATTCCGTTATACCTTGCATTAGCATTTTCAGCCATTCAGACTTATAAAACCGTATTTTATGGGGTAAAAATATATTTCAGGGTACCCCTTGGCGAAAAATGGCGATTTTTTGGCGCGATTCCTGTTTACGTCCAACGCCATCACCAGTAAAATGGCTTCCAAAACATAATGCAATAAAACATAATTAAAACAAAAAAATTCAAACAAGGAAATGATATAAAAAGGGAAATACATGTTATCTAATCTACGCAGTACAAAAAAGGAAATATCGGCTTATCTTATTTAATAATTTCAGTTTGTTCGATATGTGTGACACACAGAATTTCTTAACAGCATCCAAAAACTATTTAAAATTATCTAAATTAAAATATGTATTTCTTATAAAAATCCCTTTTTATTACACCCCACATACCTTCCGTAGACTTGACATGAGCTCCGGTTTCGAAATCCTTAAATCTCACTGCGTAGTGTACATAGAGGTGAACGATGGCATGTAAAATTTCATTTACACACCAGTCAATCAAAGGTTTCTTTCCCAGTCGCTTCAAAGTGTACAGAAACTTCAGGTTAATCGTACCACCAGCAGGCATTTTACGGTGTAAAGCACAAAATGAGCCACGTAGCAACGTACGTCCTAACCAACATCCATACCTTAGTAAGCTCTTACAAATATTTTCCCATCCGTCAAAATCACTGCAGTCACGCATTACAACCACTCACGTCATAACAGGGTTTCCATAACATTCAACTACTCAGGTTACCATAAATGAAACAACAACTTGGCGATAATCCAAGGAGTAACCCTAAAAGATAAGACTAATTGTGGTTACAAGAGTCCAACAGCAACAATAATATTGAAATTAATAATTCATATCCGGGTATATTCCTCTCGCAACCAGAAACACTCTTCTGCTATCCAATGGTCGGTAATTATGTATATTAACACAAGCACCTTAAAAGATATCAACACATTTTCAGAATGTGCCTAACTCGAACGAAAACTTTCGGGTGTCATATTCCAAGCCGAAATTTTTCGCGTTTGTAATACTTCCTTTACTTCGTACAAGGAAGTAAAAAAGAATCTAATTTAAATTTAGGAAAGCAACAACCTGGTGTTTACCGTAGATTTAGTCAAGAACTCAATCGATTTCGATGGCAAACAGGTACAGGTCCCCCATCGAAATCGACTGAGTTCTCGACTAAATCTATGCCAATTGCTTTGCTAATTTTATGACATGTTTCTCTTCAGTTAAGAATCCAATTTCTTGTCTTTATTAAATATATTTTTTTTTCGTCTTGCCCACAGATCAGCAAGGTACGAGTGGAGCAGTGTAGTCGGTATGATGCCTGTGACCAGTGCTTGCGGGCCAGAAATCCTTATTGCGGGTGGTGTTCCCTCGAAAAAAGGTAAGACTTTTAAGTAACATTAATCCTTTTTCCTATATCCTTGATTAATGCACGATCCCTTAAGCTTCTTGTCATAGAAAACATTAAAATGCCCATTTTCGGCAAATGGAAGGCATTTGATCTTCAGATAAATGGGCATTAAACTCAATTACTATTTAGTGCTTTGCATAAATTACCAATAAAACTAAAAAAAATTATCAGAAAAATGGTGAAGCACTTAAATACTCTTGAAGAGGTATATTTTCAAAAGCTATGTGAAGCTTTCACTTCTTTGACGTCTTCCGCATCTGTTTGCCAGGAAGCTTTTAAACACTTCTACCCTGGAGACGGCGTCAATTGCGAAAGACGACGTTATTAAAAGGAAACGCATTAAGCCGTATATCGACGCCTTAAACGGCTCGCGTTGTCTTCCAATCATGATTCTAATGCGTTTCTTTGCATGCTGTTATCACTGAAGACCTTTAAAAAGCTTATCGATCGAAGACCCATCAACCCAACATTTGACTTCTGCAGTACTAAACGCTGTCTGATATGAGGAGTTGCTATGTGGGAAACTATTCCGGCTATCGTCATGCAAATATTGGTTGTCTTTTACCGGATCTGTTAACTTTTTGCTTTTTTTCCCATAATTGTTTGCGCAAAATGTCCTGTCAGAATATTCGACGTTGAAAAGCATAATTGCATATTATAAACAGAAAAGAACGAGTTCAGCTTTTTATATGCAATTGTTTTAATGCTTATTCGTAAATGCATTTAAATGCTATCTAATTTTTAAATGTCTCCTTTCCCAATGGCGGGCTCTTGCCTTGAGCCACCAAGGCCGGAAGCGGTAGTTTCTTTATTATGGAGACACCTAATAGATGGGTCTCCGTTACCTTCTATGAAGAGATGGGCAAATTATAGCTACGCCTTCTCCGGTATTTGAACCAGGGCCCTTGACTATGGCAGTTAGAGTCATTAACTGCATTCTCGTCTAAGCGGCAACTTTTAAATGTTAGGAAGTGAGTTTTGTCTGGCACAATGGACGTAAGTAACAGAGTAACATCCAAGAACACTTATTTTTCTGGAACATTATTTAATATATCCTAAATTATAATGGTAAAATTAAATTTTGGCGGATATTTTATCGAAAATATTCACGACTTCTTCCTCTACATCGGAAGTAATTTCAGCTGAGTTTTATTTTATGGTCAAGAATAGATAAATATCACACATCCATTTTTCAAACATATGATGTAACATTGAGTTCGACGATCGAAAAGGTTTTGGTTTATGTGACTACAGCAGAGCGTCAAGAGCTATCTTCCTAAGAGGATAGATGCCTTCGTAGAGAACTTTCTAAGGGAAACTTTGTAAGGATCTTAAGTTTTACTAACGTTTATTTTATCTTAAATCTTTACTATCACTTCTTATTTTCTACTTCCGGCCAGAATTATAAGCGTTAATGTATTTATGCAAAGTTTTGTCTGGCGAACGCCAAGTATTTAAGTTGTGGCTTTTTTGCCAACCGAGAGAGAGGAAGCATTAGTCGAAGCAGGCCGCTTACCTTAGAAGTTTTACTCAGTTGCTGTTGCCTTCCAGGCTAGAGGTTTTAATCCTCTTGATAATTTTTAAAACGTATTGTAGTGTTCACAGTTCTCTGTACTACATACGGCTTCCTGTTAATATAAGGCCAATCTTCAACGTTTATTATTTTAAAGTTAAATTAGAGTTTAGTTTTTATTTTTATATTCTTACGTTTCAGACCACGAGTAGTGTGGTCTTTGTATTCCGAAGTACGGAAGTTATTGTAAATAGACAAAAATAAAAGGGTTTTGTATACCCTTCTTGTATCCTGTCTACTTCCCACAGTTAGTGAACATAGCTTTAGTAAGCTCTCTGTTCCGAGTCAGGTCCTTGCATGTTCCCGAAGAAGGTAAGACGGAACATTGAACCTGATAACTTGACTGTATGCACGTTACGTATGTGGAAAACCTTGGAGAAGGCCATGTAGATTCGAACCTCGGACCGAACTATCAGTGTTCAGCGACTTAACCCTTTAACTGTCAAGTTATTTTGATGATTTGGGTACACAAATTGTCAAATTTTTTTATTGCAAAAACCAAATGTTTAGTACAAAATAAAATATACTTAAGTAGTTAAAAATTGATATTTGACGGCATGGGTAAAAATTTTAAAGTTTTGTGCCACTGCATATTTGCTTTGAGGCGGCTGCCACTCAACATGGCAGTTGCAAAGTTCGCTTCTAGTGAGCATTATTTTCTAAAAAATGAAAAAAATTAATTATTTTCTAAACATAATAAATATAAGTGAATACCTATTAGTATTCAGTAATTCAGTCTTGTGTGGTACAACTGGAAACCCTTTCCAAGCACAACCAACTCCACATCACTACACCAGAATCGTGATTCCTTCCTTAACTTTTCCCCATTTTTATCCTTTTTCGAACAACACACTTTGCACTGTCTTGTAGGCTCACATTTCGCAGGAGTAAGAGGAAAATGGGATATAAATGTCGTTCAGTAAGACGAGCAGGGTTATCTATTGTAGGTGGTCTGCCAAATTCTTTTGTTTCAGAAGCTGCATCATCATCATATTTATGTAAAAGCTCTTCTACAACTTGTATTCGAATTCTAAAATGTAATACGTTCCAACTACATTTTTATAGAGCAAATATGAGTTCCAGAGTACTTTGTCTAGTAAATATAAATATCTTTTTATAATATTTTTTCTGACGTTTTCGGATTTTTGGATTGAAAGGATATTTCCTGATCACAGCGATCTACACCACTCATAGTTAGACCGTAATTAGAAACAATCTTCGGCTTGATATTATCTCCATTTTTTATTTTTGAGGCTGACCATGGAAGTATCATGAATACTGCTCATCAAACACACATCCTTCACCTTCGGTTGAAGAATCTAAAACATCTATATAACGTTTCAAGAATTGGAGGCTATTTTAAACAAAAACCCCCATGCACTTTGAACCAAATAACCCTAACCTTGAAATCTTCAGTAAAGTGCTGTCATCTATTGAACTGAGCGCACATTAACTTTTCCCGAATACAGACGGGTTTGACAAAGAGATGAAGCCGAAATAAACGTCTCCCGATATATATTCGGGTATAACAATACGATGCACTCAAAAAAAAAAAATTACCCCGAGTAATACTCGGGCGTGACATTTTCGAACACCAGTGTACCCGAGATTATCTCGGGCATGACAGTTAAAAGGTTAACCGCTCGGCCGCTGGTGTTCTGCAATCGAAAAGAAGAATGATTTTACTGCACCCCGTAGTTTAGTCCTCCAATCTTTAAATACCAGAATATAATATTAATAGAATAATGAGTAGTAGATATAGGATGAGAAAACAATCCACATAGTTAACGTACATATGAAATTTATTCCATTCAAAAAGTGGTTTTTAAATTAAATTAAATTAAATTAAATTACTACGTTCATAAAAATTTGAAGCGCATACGCATATTGCATCATCGTGGTTAATTCGAACTTTAATTTTATAGAACAACACGGAAATGTAGAATAAATGGCTGGCTAGGTTTTCATAAATCGAAAAAATATATTACTAAAATGAAATATAAACATTTTTTAAGTAATTTAATTGGAGAGGAATTATTGCATTCAATTTATTCTTTATATAAAATAACTTTTATCTTAAGATCCTATTCAGTTATTTTATATATATTTTTCTAACTTCATGTATAAAAACGCACTCCGAAAAAAAAGTGTAATTTAACTGTTGGAAAAAGAGGTTAGGATCAAATAAAAGTACTTCGCTTTAAATGTAACTGATAATTGTTTGAACTAATTTTTATTGAAATGAATGCTTCTGTCCCGATCCCACGGTTAAAGTTAACTATGCATTAATTTGAATTTTGAGAGAAAACTAGTGATGATAGTGATTAATACTGAATTTCTAATAGCTAGCTGATAGCAGGTTTAATGATTCAGGCTGTTTGTATAAAATAAGTATGATTTGTTAAAGTACACTTTTTTTTTTAAATTTGTACATTCGGCACTCCCCTCCCCCCATAATTTATAATTCTAAAATTTTTTCCCGAAAATTTACAAAAATTACTCAAAAATGCAAGTTTAGAAAATAAATCAGAAAATATCGGTGAATTTTATTTGGATTGAACCTGTATTTGAGACTGTGAAAGAAGCAATCAAGTACAGTGGATGGACAAAAATATGGAAACACCTTGTGAAATGCATGTTTGAAAAGAAAGATTGATTTTAATGAAATATGTAGGTGGCGCTAGCGTTTTTGACTACTGACTATACAACTTCGTAAATGTGCTAAACAGTTCAGTTGTTGTCGGAGTACTGTTATGTGAGGTTGTCATTGCATTATGTCAGAGTTAACAGACTTCGAACGTGGGGAAATTGTTGGAGCACGTATGGTAGGTGCTTCCGTAAGCAAGGTAGCCGAGGTGTTTAGTGTTTCAAGAGGTACTGTATCGAAGATTTATCCCGCATATTTGAAAAGCGGAAAAACATCATCTGCTAAATCACAGCGCAGACGAAAGTGTGTCCTGAGTGATCGTGACAGACGATAATTAAGGGCAATTGTGACGAAAAATAAGAAGACCACAGCTGCAAAGTTACTGATGAAATGAATGTTGTGTTACCGAACCCTGTGCGTACCAAAACAGTTTAAAGGGAGCTTCATAAACAGGGAATTGCTGGCCGTGCTGCAATTAAGAAGCCACTCATCAGTGATGCTAATGCCCTTAACAGGAAAAGGTGGTGTTTAAGTCATAAAGGCCTGGACTATAGAACAGTGGAAGCGAGTAATATGGTCTGACGAGTCTTCTTTCACATTGTTTCCCACTTCTGGCCGAGTTTACGTCTGGAGAAAGCCATCTCAAGCATATAATACAGACTGCTTGTTGCAAAGAGTGAAACATGGCGGGGGTTCTGTTATGGTTTGGGCAGCCATATCGTGGTTCTCTGCTAGCCCCATGATAACTGTGTCAGGGCACATGACTGCCAAGACTTATGTGAACATTTTGGCCGATCAAGTTCATCCCATGGTACAAACTTTGTTACCCGATGGTGATGGTGTCTTCCAAGACGACAAAGCCCCTGTTCACACAGCTCACATTGTCCAGGACTGGTTTTCTGAGCACGAGGATGAGTTGTCCCATCTCCCCTGGCCACCACAGTCACCAGACCTGAATATTATCGAACTTTGTGGTCTACATTGGAAAGGAAAGTGCGTTCTCGTTATCCACCGCCAACATCGTTATCTGAACTTGCCACCGTTTTGCAGGAAGAATGGTATAATATTCCCTTGACAAACAAACAGGAACTGTATTTATCCATTCCGAGAAGACTGCAAGCTGTTTTGGATGCCAACGGGTTTCCTACACCATATTAAGCAAAGAAACATGTTTTTTTAAAGGTGTTTCCATATTTTTGTCCAACCCCTGTAATTTAATTAAAAAGAAAACATATTAATAAATATTTACCAAATTTAATGAACACTAAGAGCTGAAATTTCGAGAGCTAATTTTTGAAATACTGCTCTTGCGATTTTTACAAAACTCGGCACTTTGGCATAATCTGTATTGTAGAATCGAAGTATTGAAAAAAAATCGTTATTTTGTTTCAGAAAAAGTCCTTTTTCGTGTCGAAATGCCTATATTTGAATAATGTTATGTATACATTTAATATATATACTAAGGTGCATTTTGGAGACCCGAAAAGCGCAAGTTAAATTTAAATCAGCGCAGAACGGGAGATATAGAACCGTCCTTTTGTTCACAGTGTACATTTGTCTCGTTAGGTTCAGTTTAAGTTTCTATGAGCTACAATCCGGAGGAAAAAAGTTTTAATTTAGGTTATTAATTGAATAGTATTATGCCCGCTTTCGTTATTAGGCATTAACTCCGCCTAGTTGTTTAAACTTCTTGATATATAACTTCGTATAACAGACCTACAGACTAAAGCACTTAAGAAAATAGTTTTTCTAAAGAATGAACTCAAAACCGTGAAGTAATTTTACAGAGATTGTAACAAGATGAGTTTAAAATTTTTTAAAATCTAGATTTACTATCTGAAGAAACACCAGTTTTAAAACGAGGGAATTTCTCTGTTTTGAATTTACTATACTTTGGCATTTCCATATACCATAAATTTTAGTTCTGTTTATGCAATCATGAGCTTTCGACGGAAAAAAACAAATGCCTTTTCAGTTTTGAAATGCGGAGGAAATGTAGATATGGATACTTCATGTCTTGAACGTATGCAGAAGAAAAATTGGAATATTGTATATGAATTTACCTTATTTTATTTATGTCCGTATAATGAACTGACATTACTGTCGAAACACATGAATTTATTCCATAACTTTAAAGTTTTGTTTCCTTTTAAAATTCCATTCTGTATAGGATTATTGTGTAATATGTAGTTTTAGATAAGTAGTTATAGTGTAAGTCGTTTGCAATAGTACAATAATTTTTAAATTTTCTGGAAAACAGGCAAATTGTTTAGAATGTCAAATAATTTGATACTGAAATTTGTAAAGTAAAAAATCAGCCTAACCTTTTTCATTTGCATTTTATTATTTATGTTTATTTCTAAATTAAGTCTTACAAGAAAACCCAGCTTTTCTCAAATCACATCGAATCGAAAACGTTTTGATGTAAGTTAAAAACGAATCAATAAGGCTTGAAATCTAATAATTTCGAATTTTTTAATGAAGTTTTTGTTTATTTTCTTTTTAGTAAAAAATAACTAAACTATCAAAAAGTGATAGTGGTATATTGATATACCAAAATAGTGATTTCTTAAATCTTTTACCTGGAGATGACTTTTGAGAACCCAGGTTCTTGGCAGATTATATGACTCGGAACGTATGCTATACAATCAGATTCCTGTGAATGTGAACAACTATCAAAAAACAAAATATAAAAATTTATTGTAAATTATTATTACTTTTTTTAACCTTGCAATAGCAATATTTTCCCCATTCTCTGAAGGTACCTTTTGCCCTTCTGGATGACAAAAGGAAAGTCCTACCAAAAATACTAAAGCATATTATTTCTCTTACGAAATTTAAATATAAGAATAAAATAAAAATTCTCAAGTTTACTTTATCCTAAATGTTGCAAAATAATTTTATTGTAGTAGAGAACAAGGAAACGTGGCACCAAACAGACACTGCATAGAATGGACTACCTGTTTGCTGGCACAGAGTCGAAAAGGCTGCCCAAAACCAGTTTTGACTTTGTGCCAGTTGGTCCGTTGCTGATGTCCATTTTATGCAGGTATCTTAAAAAATAATCTTTTAATCAAATTCTTTTCCTTTTGATTATGTGCTGTTCTAATTATAATCCTTGTCTACATTATGCAATGGTCATTGCATATCGATGTCGTTTCTGCACAAGTCTTGATGCTGTGCCAGTTCGAACCTACACAGTGTCGATCGCCTGTGGCAACTCTGTGAATGTAATAAATGTGCCTTATTCCTCTTAATTATTTATTATTACGTCATTATCGAAATTTCCGTTTATTCATGTCGATCCTCTGTTGGTTCTACGCCGTGTCGGTTCAATGTAGTTGTTGATCTTATACAATGTTGCTTCTAGGTGGTGTAGGTTCAATGAATTTAACTCGAAAGTGATGTGTCCAAAATTGAGTCATTTTTGTTTCAAATAAAAACAAGATATACTTTAGTTTATCCCCAAAAAATATTACCTAGAATTGCCGCGCTTCAGTTGTTCTGGATAAACGGATGTTACCATGGTAATGGAAATAAAATTTTCTTTGTTTTTAGAACTGGGAATAAACAAAATTCTTCAAATTTCTCTTAGTTTTCCATCGTACTATATTCTTTTCTTTTTTTTTTTAAATTGCAGATGTACAGTGAAGGCAGCTTGTCAGAATGCAACATTGACAACTGATTCAAGCAGTCCTCGCTGGTTATCATTGAACACGCAGCAATGCATAGACTTCCAAGCTATCCGACCGGAGCATTTGCCTCGGAACAGCCTCTCTGTAGTAAGTATTTACATTTTCTCTTCATCCAAGTAACTGTTTCTTTCCTTTTCAGCTAATTATTTATTAAACTGTTAGCTATAATTGTTGATAAACTTTTTATTGAGAATAATATGGCAAATTTCGATGAAAACTTAGGAACCGATTTACTTAATTTGACTTTAATCATCCTCAAGTCAAATCTTAGTATGTTACTTGACAACATTTCTCTCACATGATGAGTTCCTTGAAATGTATGTCCTGAAAGTACAATTATTTCATTATTACATGCAGGTCTGGTCCCAAAGAAGAATCTTTCTGACAATATGGTGGGGCGATAATAAGGTATTTCATCTGCATAAAATCTGAGAATACTCACAAAATGCGAGGCATTTGCTGAGATATTATCGCGAATCAAATTTATTGCACATGAGAGACGTTTGGTCACTTTATCTTAGAGAGAAACCTCGATAGGACCACCTCCTATCGTTTCAGACGATTTTGATTTTTTGCGGAGGTGGTTTACTTAGATGGCATAACAATTTGTTCAGTATCATTATTTTAAGTATGTTCTCTAAAATTCTAGTCTCTCTAGAGAAATGATCATCTTAGGTGGATGGGCATTGTTGAAGATTTCAAGGTATACGTAATTTTATTCTGCTTTGGATACTTTTCCAAAACTCCACCACACTCGAAACCATTCTCTCATCTGTTTGTTTTGGTTTATTTGATTACGGCAACGTTCACGACGGCTATCTGCGTTAGGGGGGATGCCTTCGAGGAAGACTAAGGTAAACTGGCTCATATACACGTTATCCATGCGGAAAACCATGAAAACCCCCCTATAGCCGGCCCGCTCACTGTGATTGGAACCATGGACCGAACAATCATGTTCAGTGATTTTAACGCTTCACCGAACTACCAACCGACATAAACGATAATACCAGTGTTACCGACATTACCGATAACAGAACGGTGGGCCCGTTCTTTTATCGTCTGGTTTCCTTTGAGATCTGTGAAAATATCAAGTTAGAAATTTCTGATTTTGTTTTCTCCCCATTAATGAGCTTCAAAATTTAAAAGTATTTTCATATTAAATTAGGAAAATTCGTCTTTGTATGAATTACCACTTCTTGAACACGTCATGGTTCCATGTCATATCACATTTTGGATGCACGTACGGCATATAAAATATTCTCAAAGTAACACTGAATGCATCAAAGCTGAAAGTCCAACTTGTCATCGCCATCGCCAAAAATGATTAAACCCACTTAAATATCAGCCAATGGATTATCTTCAATACTAACGTCTAAGATTTCTTAACGCAAAAGATAGCTGCTGACTTCAGTCTTGCAGTTTTAGGAAAGCTGCTTCTGCCGTGTTGAACACGTGAATGAGGAGTTGTAATAAGATCTGCTTTCTAACTTCGCCTAAAGGCTTCGACATCGTTAAGAAGGAAGGTCTCTGAACTCGGTAATTAAGAAAAGGAACGTAATACTGATCTTGTAATGCTAATATATGGCATATGACATCCAGTAAGAAACTTAAATTGGCTGTTGCGATCGATCGTGACCTGTGTAATTTCTCATGTTCAGAAAATGTTGGATAACCCAGTTAGAAAATCGTATCATGGCAGAATGAAAGCCATAATTCTTCTCATTTTGAAGGTTGGGATCTTTAAATATTCTATTATAATACTCAAGTATGCATTAATTCATGTTTGAATAATAATAAATTGACTTTGTAATAAACTATAATGTTGTGAAGTGGAATTCGGCACGAGAAAATCTGTAGTACCAGAAACACAGCTTGAATTTTTGTTTTTGTTTTTTTAGTTACCTATGTATGAATTTCTTACAGAAATTATGGTTTTCTTATTTTTACTCTGTAAGGATATTAATGACTTCTGATCTTTTTTCGGATGATTTTTATTATTACTAATGTGTGAATATAAAAATCTTCAATCAAGATTTTTTATATCTATTTTATTGATTTAGTTTAATAATAATGTGTATATCTAAATATATCGCATTAACTAAGCATAATATCATTATCCAAATTTGAATACTCAGAAAATAGTAAACTCTAATGTTCTTAAATTTCAGAAAGAAAAAAAATGCTTATTGTTAGAAATGTTAATGTTGGATTACATTCCGTTAGGAGATTGGGTTTAGTGTGTTAGACTAGTAAACGTATTAATAGAAATTGCTGTAGTTAATCATTGAAAATTCGTTTATAAAGATCAAATTTTATTTCAGTTCTAATCTTTCTTGTTGATGCGCTGCTTCGATTTCAGTGTGCGATTATTTATTCTCGAAATACAACTTATATATGTGTGATATGTATATCACACATATATAAGTGTGAATCTGTATTTTAGTTAATAAAATTGCTTTCAAAGTACTGCCTCTGTATATCTGTACACTGATGTAGAAGATTCCATTATATGTGTGAATATATATGTGTGAATATAATATGTGTGAATATATGTGTGAATCTGTATTTTAGTTAATAAAATTGCTTTCAAAGTACTACCTCTGTATATCTGTACACTGATGTAGAAGATCCCATTTCTGGAAGCAGGTATTTAAGTTATAACGTCTTGTATGCTTGCTATCATAAACTGAGCTCAACATTAGAAGACTGTTTAGTGAATAATCAGTAAGTCTTAAAGTAATACAAAATCAGAAGAAGGATGTAAAGGACTCTTTATTAACTTAAGTCAAGTTCACAGACGGCACCACTCGTGCTTACAGAAGCCAACTTTTAACTCAAAAGGTAATAAATAACTTAAAATAAATAAAGTTAAATTTAGCCTAACTGCTTAACTATCGCACAAGCTGGTTCTGACTCGAAAAGTCGGCGTAAACAAGTCTAATGGCAAGAACAGCTCAACGCCACAGAAACATAATCGCTAGTAAACCAACTATAAAAACGTGGTCTTCAGGCAGGCAGAGCACGTTCTGATTTCACCTAAATGCTAACTTTTCCTGCTTCATTTAAATACACGCGCCATAGTCGATTTGCATTCTGGCAAGAAAGTTTGAGTTGAGAGCGCTAGGAAAACTACTTCAACATACAATAAATGTTAAGTAAATTAAATGAATTTTCACAGTGTCAGTTTTCAAAACATTGTTGAGAATCCGTTTTGCCTTCTTTTGAATATTAGGAATATTTACACTTGTATATATTAGGAATATATATACTCGTATATTAGGAATTCTTCGCTTTTTCAATTCCTGTTATTTTGGAAATGGCCAAAAATCAGTGGCAGGTAAATTAACTTAAATGGTCATTATGGTCTAACAGGGTACTTTAGCCCGAAAGTACATTTCAAGCAGCACACTGTCGCTGTAAATAATTTCGCAGATATCTTTTCCATTTAAAACTGTTCTATCTGTTTCCGCTTGATTAATTGGTTTAGTTCTTCAGTTATTAGTCTGACATTTAATCACTAGCTGAAGAGCATCATATCTGGCCCTCTTTCAGTATTAATGTTCGTCATTGTTGTTCCTGGCTGTCTGCCTCTGGGGTCATTCGTCATGTATTCTGGTCCATCTCTGAATCACCTGTGCCATTCAAACACACATTGCTTTATATACCACTTTCAACAGTTTTAACAATTCAGTAGCGCTTTTTTTTCCGATTTTCGTATAAAATTTGATACTGCTGTAAATCCTGGTCGCTTATTTTTGCGGTGAAGTGCACGAACAGTTACCTGATACCTTTCCAATAGCGTACCAACAATAACTATTTAAAATTTTTGTGTGAATTAGATGAAGTACAAACTCAGTTTCTGGAAAATGTTCAAATTAACATGCGATTAATTTTTCTGTCGCTATTGTCTTCACTAAAGAGGTACTTGGCTTCGGGGTAGAGTAGAATGAATAATTCCAACAGCACCAACACATCAATCGAGTTCCCTTTCGTGATCTTGAACTTGTTTTTTCGCAGGTGGAGTTGGTGATCAATCAGTTGCCACAGCTGCCCTATGGTGCTCACTATATGTGCGTCTTCGGCCGCAGCACTCCCGTCCAAGCAAAGGTCACTGACCAAGGACTTGCTTGCCTTGCCCCCGTCCTCGCCGAAAGACCACCGATACCAACCGGTAAAGGTAAGTTTTACCCATGGGTGCTTTCTGAGACTGGCAACGAAACTGCGTGCTGAAGAAAAGAGAATTTTGTATTAGATATTGGAAGAAAACAATTCTTTATGTTCATTAGACCAAGACGTATTAACATTAAATTGTCTGTTGGTATAACTGTAAAGGCAAGTTAATTAAATACTCTTTTCTTTTTATGGGAGTAGAAGATAAATATATTAGATTTGCAAATGTTAAAATGTGTCAATGCAGTTCAATTTCAGCACAGAAACTTAAGGGGACTCATACACCTTAAAACCCATAAGATTTTCGAATAGGTGACTGTTGCGAGAGTTGCGATAACTTATTTATTTTAAAAGCAATTACTACCAACTTTTTATAGCTGACTACATAATATAGCTGCTTTCTGAAATAGTAATCAGAAAGTTTGTGTTGCCACAAATATTTTTATAATTTAATCCGCTTTGTGACAACATTTTTCGTCATGTTTCCAACTTGCGCGCACAGTTTAAAACATTCTGTTTCATACTTTGATTCTATATTTAATATATAGCTTTTATAACATTTGGAAACTACTGTGAACCTAAAATTCTAAAAATTTCATGTTAAATTTTTATTTTATTTTGAGTTAAGTTTATAAAATGTATTTTATTAAAACATTTTTTAATATTTTCGCCCATAAAATTTTTCAATATTAAAATATTCATCAGTATGTACCATTAGCCATTTTTAAAATATCATGCGCGCAAGGTGGAAACACGGCGAAATATTTTGTCACTAAGAGGATTAAATTACAAAAATATTTGTGGCAATACAAACTTTCTGGTTACTAGTTTCCAAAGCAGGTATATTATGTAGTCAGCTGTAAAAAGTTGGAAGTAATTGCTTTAAAAATAAATAAAATATCCCAATTCTTGCAACAGTCACATATTCGAAGATCATGAGGGGTTTAAGGTGTATGAGTCCCCTTAAACTAGTATTTCGCTTAAGGTATTAAAATTCGACTTTCGATTATAACAATATGGTTGAACATTAGCCCTATTTACTATAGTAGTTTAAACACAGTACATTTCAATAAATAGCTATTTTCACGTTAAACTCATGCATACGTAACGTTTGTATATACGTTACATCAATATGTAAAGCTTATTTTACTTGCAATTGATTACTGATGTTGAATCTCTCCTGCACTTCTGCTGTTTGTCAACTGCATCAGAAAATGGAAATTAAGTGAATTTAAATTTAGAGAGACATTTTTGGCAACTTAGGCCCCGAACGCGGTAATCTTGTTTCTTCCCGTTGAAATGCTCTTTGTTGATGAATTCAGTTTTCACTTATAACTATGTAAGAAGGCGTATTAGTGCAGGAGCCTTTAATCTTGGTCTTTAATATTTCGATTTGTGAAAGTCGAGCAACTGTTATATTATGACACTGCAAACAACGTTAAGTTTAGCTTTTTTAATCTCCCGAGGTAACTTCCAAGCTGAAGTAACCTTGAATATTTTAGTTGCTTTTGCAATATTTATTATTATTAGTTTGTGCGTCGCCCAGACGGTATAGTGGTTAGGGAAACCTACTACGGTACCAAGGACACGGGTTCGAATCCCGAAGAAGACATGGATGTTTGTAAATGTATGGTGTCGGTGCGGCATGACGGCACTCTAAATATGCGGCAAGCCGAAAGTCTTCTCGTGTGGATTGGTAGAAGGGGAGAGAGGTGGGTGACCCCCGGATCCCTTCCGGCATGCTCTCCCTCAAAATTGGGGGTGGGAAAAGAGAAGTCCAACCTCTCTTTGGAGTAGGCTCTGGCAACCATTGTTCCATGTAATATGGACAAGACAACAACAATATGAGTTTGAGCGGTAGAATTATTTAAGTTCAGACTGCACGAAAAGTCGTCCAGCAGGTGAGGTTATCTCAGAGTTTAGATTAAATGAAATTGGAGTATAAAAAAAAGAAAATTAATAAAAAATCATCAAATGGACGCTTATTTCGTTGATATACCCGTAAAAAAGAATTCATTTCTTTCATTATTTCCGAATGTTTTTGATTCTAATCCGTAATTATCTCTTTGCAGATCACGTTTCGGTGGACTTAGCGGTGAGGTCTAGCGAAACGAATAAAGATTTCCTGAACAGGCTATTTGCTTTCTACGATTGCTCCGTTCATAAGAAGTGAGTATTTTTACTAGGCATTAGAATTTTTTTATTACGAAATAATTGTCCTTTAATTAAAAATCAGTTGCAAAATTGAGATAACTAAACTACTGCTGTGGAAAGTTAATTTGACTGGTTTCAACTTGGTTAATTTGACTGGTTCAGTAGTTTTGAACTGACATGTGGAACTCTTCTAAAAACTGTGAAACATGGAATAAATATTTTGATATTTTGACATATCAAACTAACTCGCCAAATAAAAATTATTTGAGATAGTTGGGTTTATTTAATTACGGCAAACCACACTAGGGCTATCTGTCTAAGGGGAGGGATGCCTTCGTGGAGGACTTTCTAAGGGAAACTGGCTCATATACGCGTTACACATGGGGAAAACCACGAAAACGCCCATGCAGCCAGCCCGTTCGCCGGATTCGAACCTCGGACCGAACTACCAGTGTTCAGCGACTTTACCACTCGGCCGCTGGTGGGCCCTATTTGAGATAGTAAGGCAGCAAGAATCAACGCCGCCCAAACGGAAATGTGGTTAGCGATGCTAACTGCTATACCGAAGTTACTGGTTTCGAATCCCGGAGAAGGCTTGGATGTTTGTAAATTTAGTATCTGTGCTACGTTAGAGCATTCAAAATATGCGACGATCCGAAAGTCCTCTCGAGAGACCTGTGGTAGGGAGAGGGGTGGGTGACCCTCAACCACCTCGGGGTGCTGTCCTTCAAAATGAGGGCGTAACTGAATATAAAGTCGGAACGTCACCTGCGATTAGTAAATAAAATGTACATTAATATTGCAATTAGTAATACAAAATATATTTATCCTTCATTTTGCAAATTTTTTATATTTTCTTATCAAGCATTTTAATAAAACAGTCTAAATAAAAGTATTTTTTTCTCAAGGTAAAATCTAGTTTATCTAGTAAAATCTGAAGGAATTTCTATTGGAAAAAAGCTCCGTAGGAAAAAATTTAATTCATATTTTAATCATAACATTGATGCGTAATTGAGCGTTAATGCAATTGTCTTGAGTTACGCTGTTTTAATATTATAATCTTATCTCCCGCGTCGAGAATTTTCAGGATCCTTCTTAAGGTATTTTTCTCGATTAATTCTTATATTTCTTTGATTAATTACGTGAGCTAGGTCATTTTCTCATTAATAAATATTTAAGTAGGATAAAAGAATAATTAAGCAATTAAATTATTTATCAAAGCTGCTGATTTGGGCGTTACATGCCTTGCAAAACAACAGATCTTAATTTTTTATATGAAATTTTTTGCATAGCTCCACCAATCTTTTTTACCTTTTTTTTCTTAAGTATCTGCGGTTTTCGTCCTTTTTTTTTTTTTTTTTTTTTTTTACCTTTCTACCTCTTCTTTTAATTATCAGATTAAATTCATTCTGGATAAGTGAAGAATTAAATAATACTAAAGATTATTCTTTTTGCATTGTTGTTTTGGTAAGTTTTGCTAACGCTGATATTAATTTTCATTCCTTTAATGAAGAGGGGAAAAAAGGAATGTGAAGAAAATAACAAAAAAAGAGTGCAGTTTGATTTTTCATGTTCTTGTGCAACATATTTTATTTAATTATGATTGTTTTCGTTATTCTTTATTATACTATTAGAAACTACGTCATATATTGTCCGCTTAGTGGAATATTATTCGGAATGATCTACTTTCCGTTTTTCTTTCAAAATAAGCAGCTCTTAATGTTTCTGTTTATATATGTTTTCATTTTTTTCTTAACAACGGTTTTCGCATTCTTTATTTGGCAATTTTTGTTATAGGATGGCTTAAGGAAAATCAATTACGAATTCCGCTGGGGCGATATTTTCGATTATCCACATCTAGTTTTGTATAAATTCTTAAGCACATTTTAATGTCTTAAATATATTTAAAAATGAATCAATTGATGTTTTATTAAATTTCAGTGTTAGCTGATTTTTTTGACTTGCTAAGAAAGCACAGATAAAACTACCAGTAACTAAAAGAAGGAAAACTTAAGCGTTAACTACCATACTTCAGGTGATTGTTGTAATTTTTAACGCTCATTTTTTGGTTTGTTTCCCTTTTAATTGCGCTGAAGTTGGCGGGGGGTAGTGATTGCTAAAAATATGTTTAAAGGGAACTCTGAAAATATATAATTCTGATATGATCAATGCTACTTTGAAATATTTAGCTATAAAATAACAAAATACGAGGCGTATTCGGAAACTAAGTACCGTTCTGAAAAAAAGAAAAATAAAAAAGTAAAACAATTTTTTCGAATCCAATTTTATTTTTACATGAAAATACATGTCTTAAACTATTTTTCAACATAGTTTCCGCCAATGATCAAACACTTGTCATAGCGGGTGACCAGTTTTTTTATACCATCGTCAAAGAAACTTCCCGCCAGTTTCGATGACCACGACTCCACAGCATTTTTCGTGTCATCGTCAGATCCAAAGCGCTTGCCACTAAGCTCGTGCTTCATGTGCAGGAACAAGTGATAGTCGGACGGCTCCAAGTCCGGACTGTACCCAATGAGTGATCGAACTGCTCCCAATGAAACTGTCGAATTAACGATTAAGTGACACCAGCAGTACGGGGCCGAGCGGTGTCATGGAGCAACACAATTCCTTTACTGAGCATTCCTCTTCGTTTGTTTTGAATGGCACGCCTTAGTTTTGTTAAAGTCTCACAATATCGTGCCGCATTAATGGTTTCACCTCTGGGAAGAAATTCAGTAAGCAAAACGCCTTTCCTATCCCAGAAAACAGTGCACATGTTTTTTGTGATGACATTGTCACTTTGAACTTTTGTTTTTTCGGAAAATGAGTGTGTCTCCACTCCATCGATTGTTGTTTCGATTCTGGTGTGAAATGACACACCAAGTTTCACAAGTTGTTTCGATTCTGGTGTGAAATGACACACCCAAGTTTCATCACCTGTCACAATTTGGTTTAAAAAGTTTTCTCCCTCATCACTGTACCGCGTGAGAAATGTCAGGGCACTACCAAGTCGCTTTGTTTTGTGAACATCAGTGAGCATTTTTGGAACCCATCGGGAACACAGTTTGCGATAATTCAAGCGGTCAGACACAATTTCGAACAAAACAGTACGTGAAATTTGTGGAAATGCCTCTGAAAGAGTTGTCATTGTGATTGTGAAGCGTCTGTTCTCATGAATTGCTTCATCAACTTTCCTTACCAAATCATCGGTGACAACAGAAGGCCGACCACTCCGAGCCTCGGCGTGGACATTTGTTCGACCTGCATTAAACATTCTTACCCACTTTCTCACCATTCCATCACTTATCGCGTATTCACCGTAAACTTCTGTCACTTGACGATAAATTTCGGCCGTTTTCATTCCTCGCGTTCAAAAATTTAATCACGGCACGAATCTCACAGTCAGCGGGAGAACTAATTGTCTTAAACATTTTGAATGTGCACAGCAATTGAAAACACAACATAGAGCAACCAAAATGGCGGCAATTGAAAGTCAGTGAACAAGAAAGACTAGTGCGCATGCGCGGGTCGCCTACCACAGCGCTGCGACGGCGCTAGAATGAAACGGTACTTAGTTTCCGAATACGCTACGTAATACATTGAACATCATGTTTTGTATGCAATGAAGAGAAAATATATGAAATTGGTTTATCATTTCAGATATATTTAATATTTGATATATCTTTTGTAATAAAACTAATCAGATTAAGGGGAAAATATTATTTCCGACGTGAGTCTTCTTTTCAACTTTTTTATGTAACTTTTCTTTTGCGTAATTTTCTTTGACAAACTTTTTTATGTAGACTTGCCTATTTGTTCATTATTTTTATAGTTTTTCTTTTCAGTTGCTTCCACTTTTACTACCGCAGTCCTTTCCCTTTAGATGCACTGGTGCTGATATCTCCTCTATTTGGTCCATCGTAAAGATAGTTGTGCAATTCCGGAGTTGCTACATGACGAGTAGTTTTGATTCTAGTAGCTTTGTTTTTGATATCAGACCCGAAGAGAAAGTCCATGAAACCTTTTAAACCCATTTTATTAAAGGCGATTGGAAAAGGGTTTGTGCCTTGGAAAATTGTAGTATCGCAGAATTCCTGAAAATCGAAGTCAAATAATAAATTTAAAATAAATAAATAAATAAATAAAAATTAGCAAGTAAAATATTCTTATAAAGATTCAATTAATATCTGGGTGGATCTTGCGTTAGTATCTGCCTTGATTGTTTTAGTGATGGAATTAATCTTCTGACGAAAAAATAATACTGTTCTGATGATAGAATCAATGGATTTATGTTTATTTTATATCTTAATATGATGTTCTTATTTTTTGCACTTTCAAAAATCATCTTGGAGAAATTTTTTGTGTTTGTTACATGGTTTGGCCTAAATTTTGCATCTCCTGCTTGACTACCTTTTTTAATGTTTAGTTTGATTTATCAGATTGCGGCAGAACACGCGAGGGCTATCTGCCTAAGTGCAGAGATGACTTTTAAGAAAATTTGGCTGGTATACTTTGTGTCGTAGTTAAAGTTACCAGACTAAGAGGGGCTCATTTCATCGTAGTAATATTTTAACAGTTAATAGTTACCATTTATTTCAGGTGCATATTTTTGACAATTTTACTTGGATATTCGGGTTGGCAGAGTCGTAGCTAGGGATTTCAGCGCCCAGGGGCAAGTGAAGATTTCGCGCCCCTTACTACTTTCCAAGGATGGAAAACATTTAATTCTAAAATGTCGTAACATCAATTTGGCGCCCCTTGGATTCTGCGCCTGGGAACAGATGTCCCCCTTGCCTTCCTCTAGCTACGCCCCTGCGGGTTGGTGTCAATCAGTGGACATAAGTTTTATGTTCGTCCGGCTTTGAATCTCTTCCTGTTCTCTCCAATTATGTTTCCTTTAGGCGGAAGGGGGTGTTGAAGCTCCTTTTTTAGAATGTTTGAGAAGAACCACTGACTTTCCACAAAAGTCAAGTTGTTCACGTTCTTCAGAATGTCGGAGCGACTCTAGACCATATTACATGTGAGAGAAAACATGAAACGTTGGTAATTTGGAACCAGGTTGAACTGTTCGTGCTTCTAAAAGTCTTGAACCATTTGGACACTGGTAGGCCTCCTTTCCGAGCCACTATTTCAATGACGTGTTGATTTGCTGGTTGATTGCATCATGCTGGGTATTTCTATCACGTATCTGCCATGACGTTAGAGTAAATTTAGCACGGTTATAACCCTGAAGGCAATGTCTGGAAGAGATATAATTTTATTCGTGTCTTCGATAGTCATTAATTCCGTAAGATTAGCTTAGAAAGGATATTATCACCAGTTATTAGAATATCCTGATAAATAAACAGAGATATATGCAATGCTTTCTTGCTTGCATTTGTGGAGTCATTAGTTTATATCGATGCAGAAAACGGGATAAATGTACAATGGAACGGGATGCAGGAAACGGGAAAAATGTGCGGAGAAGGAGAACAATAATATATATTAATATAAGAGTTTGTTTACAAACTAATGCATTATGCTATTTTTCAATGGTTTTACTTCTTCTGCAGATGTACTGCCTGCGTGACAAGTGCTTGGGCATGCAGTTGGTGTCCGCATGAGAACAAATGCACGCACAATGTTACCACGTGTTCCCGGACTGTCATCTCTGGAGAGAATGTAAGTTATTTCTGTTTTCAAATCTCGATACTGTTTAACCTTTAAAGATATCAAGTTCCCTTGTCAAACCATTGAATTCATAAAGTAATAAAATAATTTTGTGGGCTATTCTGTTAATTGATATGGTCCAGCATAAAATGTAAGCAATAAGCATAAATAAGTAAAAACAATTTATAGCCTTTATATTGCGTTTTATATCGTAGGCACTGATACAGTGATGGAAACTAAGTAAATGTGTAAAAAAGAAAAAAAAAATGTTGCAGTCTTTTACATCTTTTTATTGCTTTTAGAATGCGTGTCAAAAGTTTTAGTCTACCAGAACATTATTTTTTTTAATAGAAAAAGAATATGAGCCGTCAATTTAATCTTCTAAAATTGTTAAACATTCTTTCATAATGCTCTTTTAATTTGCCATTACTATTTTTAAATATTTAAGTTCTTCAGATTTACTACTATTGCTTGGCTATGCAAAATTTGAAATATATATACAAGTAGGAGAATATTACCTTCCATCTGCTATCTCTCAAATAAAACAGTTTTCTGGTTGTGTTTCATGTTTTCTTATTTGAGATGATTTCTTTGCTAGTCGCATTCGTATCAGTTTTTGTTGTTTCTTTTTGAGATGATTTATCAAAGAATTTTCTGTTCAGCATTGGTATGCATTTTTTATATAATAGATGAATCGATTCCATTTTCAGAACCCTCAGAATTCTCTGATCAAAGGAAGACAGCATTGTCCGAGCTTCAAACTGGAGGAAGAAATCTTACTTCCAAGTGGCATACCTAAAGAAATTACTATCGAGGTTCGAAATTTACCAAGTGTTGTTGTAAGTATTCTAGCATTATATATATTAGTTTTTCTGTTTGATGTGGATATGGATGAAGTGCGAGTATTGTTTGGATTTTCTGTAATTTGCTGAATTATTTGTTGCAGGAAAATTTCCAGTGTGTAATAGAAATCGAAGCTGCTAAAGAGCGTGTACTTGCTATAGCAAAGAATAACAAGATCATCTGTTCTGAGACAGCGGTAAGAGGCTTTAGCTGTAAATTTATAGCAAAGAATTTTTTAGATCACTTTTGTTATGTTTGATTCGAATTGTGCTGACCAGCATAGCAGTTAACGACTCTGGCTGCCATAGCGATGCGTCCATGTTCAAATTTTCTTGAAGGCGTAAATGTATAGCGTAATTTCGGCGTGGGAGCACTTAAAATACTGGCCGGCCGAAAGTCATATCGAGTGGTTTGGTGATAAAGGAAGATGGGAGACCCTTGGATCACGTCCTTCATCAAAATTGAGGGGTGGAGCTGCGTAGTTTGCGTTTAAATGCATTATTTTTAAAATACTATAAAATTAATTGCATCAATTATCCTCAACGGCACTCTACAATGTACCCTTTGCTCATGTATACAAATGTGCCATGTACCTATTGATTATGAAATCGAATGATATAAGTATTGTAAATAGTTAGTACAGTATAGCTTTATAAATGCACGTATGCACCCGCATATATTTCTACGTAACATGACACAGTAAGGCAAAATATCAACCCAGTGTCCTATTATGAAATTAATAAGCACCTATTACTAGTTATTAACATTATTTTATGGATATAGAGTTTATGTAAGTATATGAAGTAAGTACCAAATGTTTATGTGACCAATGAATATTATGTACCAAATATAAGCGTTTATACGCTTTTGTTCATATGTAATTGTGTCTATATGACCTTGTTTATATGTAATTGTGCCCATGTATATACTAGTATTACCACATATCTTGGCATTGTATAGTTAATATACATCTATTACGCACTGAATAATCATGTACCTGATGTGTCTGTACTCAAAATGTCTGTATATATGTATATGAATTTATGTTCTGTATATATGATAATGCATCAGCACATTTTATCCTGCAACACGGCACCGTATCGCAAAAATCAAACTAGGGTTCCACTCTAAAATTAATTGCACCAATTATCTGTTCAGCATTGTATTAAGTACCTATTGTTAATGTATGTTAAAGTAGCACTTACCTAACCCTTGGGTACCCACTGATTACTGTGTACCTAATACACACGTTTTATTATATTTGTACATTAGTTAATGTACTTAGGAAACAGCACAAATAATCCAGTAGCGAGACACTGTACCACACAGTACTAATCTAGGGTCTAACTTTTAATTCACTGTACTAATTACTTATTCCAGCATAACATTGTGCACCTAATATTTCAGTATGTACATGTGTATCTAATGATAATGCTTCAAAGGATCATAGTGTACTCAACATATGAGTACAAACGTTATATATATATACTATCGTATCCATGCTTTTTGGTTACACCTTGTAAGATGGCAATGTATTATCCAGTGTCTAACATTAATTAGCTTTAACGCCACTATATTAAGTACCAAATTTACATGTATGTTTATGTATTAGTGTATTAGCATAATGACCACGTATGGTTATCTAGATAAAGGTGGACGTGGCGCTATACCGATTAACCGTATTGGTAGAGGGGTGTTGCCTACGTCCTCCGTCGCATGTCGCATGCATAGTGTGGACTGTATGATCAGTGGAGAAATTCTGGTGTCCCGCCCACTGTACCCATACGTAGTTGAGAAAGCATACTTATTTATTAGACAATTTATGAAAAGCTTGCCCCTGGTGAAATTACGAGCATAACTTCTACATAAAATCAGAAAAAAAAGAAAATATTCTTAGCATAACGTATATTTAAATAATAACCTTGGGAAATGCTTACATCATCAATGAGCTGTTACCAATTTTATTCGTAAGTTTGATCATACTAGATAGTGCTAGTATGCGGAAGTCCACTTTTGATGGCACTCGTAGAAGACAAAGCATAGTGTCCAGTAACTGCTGATGAGAAGTAACAATCAGTTTCTTTAGTCTAAGAACTGATGTGGAAATCATGCAGACGGCTTGCTGGTATTGCTCAAAACTGTGATACTACTGACTTCAGTATGATCTGAGCCTATTCATTCTATATTCACCTAGAAAACCTATGCCGACCGTGTTCACTAATGTCACGGGAACGGCCGCCGCCTGCTTGTTAAGCTCTTTAGATCTTTGATATGATCCATATCCACCATAAGTCTTTACTCAATACATCAAGGATATATCCCTGGTAAACCCTTGATACGATTACCTTTGCTATTTCAGAGACTTCATACATTTATTCCGGACCGAGACTGCATCTATGATCAAAATCGTTAGATCGTCGCATTGCGTCCTCAGTCAAAATCGCTAAATCATGACACTTGGTCATTCTCATCAGTGACAAATGACTGTACAGCTCCTGAAAAGCAATACATTGACTGATTCAAATTTGCGTTTAGTTTAAATACACTTCACTCTGCCATCCGATTGCAGTATATCTGTCCGATGATCTAGCTTCATCTGATATTTTGTCATTTATCATTTAGCGCTAATCGCAAAAAATGCAGCAAAAACAATGAAGTCTTCGAGAAAAAAAAATGATTGATTATATATTGTTTGCTGCTATTGCATTTTCTTGGGAATGTTGTGAAAAGATATGTAATTTCTATACTTTATTTTAAAATTTGATCGTTATGATTTTCTTGCAGTATACGTACCAAGCTGAAGTGGGGAAAGTAACAGCGACGTTAACTGTGTTGTGGAATGACGATACTTACATCGATCACACGAACGGTGAGCCATCCATGTTATTGTAGCTTTGATTTATTGTTCTAAAATTATTGCGTAATATTTACGTTAAAATTCTGTATTTTGCTTCTTTCAGTAACTCTCTACAAGTGCCCACTTCTAGGAAGCCATAACGGGCGAGCTGATTGCTCACTTTGTCTCACTCGGGACCGGAAGTACCAATGTGCCTGGTGCGACGGATCTTGCAAATTCGGTGATGCCTGTCTTGATCCTGTAGCTACTACCTGCCCTCCTCCAAGAATCGATTATGTAATTATCCTCAGATATTTATGTCTTTTATGTTCTGATTTGTTATGTTTTTCGTTTTCTTACCTTAAATTGGGCCAGATAATAATTCTTTTCGGAAGAAACGCTACGATAGCCTTTGGACATGTATTTCGGTAAAGATTTATTTTCAGCACCGATAAAAGTGTAATAATAAAATAAGCGCATTTTTTAAAACTTAACAATGAAGTAATAATTAAGTCGTAAATAAGCATAGAAATTAAACCGAATAAGTTAAATTTATTATAAGCTGAACTAAGTTATCACAGATTCAAAGTAACGGACACCTTTGAGGATTATTGTACGATCTCGCAGCATAATATACAAGTGCATGTTAAAAGTTTTTAATATGCTAAAATTATCAATTGGTTTGTTGTCTTCGATACTGCCCCAGAGAAAATAATTGCTAAATTAAGGATATCATTAAGTTTGCATGGGCAGTATTTACAACAATAACAGTTATGGAAATTTAACTAAATACTGTCAGGGAAGAAGCCTTATTAGCGGTTACACTACTGGCGTTCGGAGCGGTCATTATGTTTACCCGTTTCTCTTAATTCCTAGGAAAAAAGCTTCCAGATGTCCAATGTAGTTATGCAGTTACCTAAAAGGGAACGTAAGTGAAAAAATGAGTTTTTATTTCCTTAGTCAACTTCTACTCCGACATTCTATAAGGCTATTCTGCTTATTTTCTTTTAGTAAAATGGTGGATGACATTTTAAAAGCCTGTTTCATTTCTCTAGTTGCTTTTCGTAGACGTTAAAGTAAAAATTCTTAAAGGCACTTATTTGTTGGTCTTAAGTACTTCTTAATCGATTTTTTTACTTAAAAGAACACTTGCAACAATTGTGAGGAAAATTCGTAATGTTTTAGTATCTGAGGTTGTGTATTGGAATAATTTGCTAGAGTTCAAAGAGACTAATTTCTCAATTTTTGTTCCGTCTTTAGAAATAACAGAACCAAAACTGGAATATTTCTTTCTCAACTAGGAATTCTTTCTTATTAATGTCATCGTGATCATAATTTAATTGACGTTCGCATTTTTCACTCAAAAATGTCGATGCTTTCATGGTTTTGCTAAGCCTTCCTAGCAAGACCATGAAGCTGTTTCATTTCTTCGAAAGATCTGTCAAGTGTAAATATTTTTTTGCCTCAGTTCAGTTTCGTGAGAGTGTTGTTACCTCGTGGTTCTTTGATTCCTTTTCTCTGCCTCGACGATCTTTGTCTAACCTTTATAAAATTATATCCAATGTGAAACATGTTCCGCGCAGAACGCGCCATGCCATCTGCTCCTCTATAATTACTCTCCTGTTTTATATTAGCTTTCATGTAAATAACTGAAACTTATTTTCTAGCAGCGATCATATGCATAAGCTCTCATCTGTAATTTCAGATAGAATTTGTTTATGAAATAAGGCATTTGAATATTTTCTACACTGGGAGGACTTTTTTTGTTTGCTTCTTTGCTTGTGTGTCTTACTTTTTTCCCTAAGAGAATATCAGGAAATGGTTCAAGCACCAGAGAGATTCAAGAGCATCAGAGAAAGATCTTGGCATATGTATAACTTGAACGAAGAGAAGAAAGTCCTGATGGAGGCATTTTAGAAACCTTCGTTTACTCCACAAACGCACCTGACTTACGTACTGAACGGATCTAATCTTTTTAACTGAGTGCCAACCAAGGTCTCTCTATCGTAGTTAAATAATAAACATCCTCGTGCAACAATTATTCATAATAATCCTCAGGCAACAAGTTTTTGAGGCAACTATTAAATCTCTTGTCTGCTAAGCATAAACACTCAACAGCTTACTGCACTGAACATTAAAAAAAAACGCAACAGCTTGTAAGGAATTATCACATTTCCATGCACGTGCTCTTGTGGTTAAATTATTAAGCACATCCAGCTGCAAACTGTGAAATTCGCGGTTTAAATCCGGTAGGAGCACAATTAGTTTTTCATTTCTCTTGTTTCTAAACTGTTGTAGTCATTAGGTTATTTTGAAACAGTAGCCATGAAAAATGTGCATTGCCCTCGCCGCGGAACTCGAACCTGGACCTCTCGAATACGCGCCAAGTGTGCTATCGTTATACCACGAAGGTATGCTGGAAAGAGGGACAAAATACCTTATAAAGTTAATAGATTCCACAAGATGACTGTCAAGTTTCAGTCCCTGACACCCGCCCTTTTTCTTAACTAATTTTTATCGGCATTTCATCAAGTCAAAATTTAGAAGTAAATTTTAATTGCTAAAATTGATCTATATCACACTTTGTTTTGTGTTTCTGTTTACTGCTCCCTTCCGTAAGTTATTAATTACTCGGAATAAATAATTCATTAAAGGACACTTTTATTGTTGTTTTCGAATAACTGGAATATATGACTTATATCAAGTTTAAGTCATGTTCTTAAACTAAATCTAGCATTAATCATGGCTAAATTTTAAATTAAAACAATGTAGTGCAAAAATCATTTATCATCGTTATGTATATGTGCCGAAAGTATGTACAAGGACTTGAATATATATTTTTTTCATTTCGGATAGTACATTATTGCTATATGTACCTCATGAATGTGGTATTAAAGCGCTATCCTCTTTCTTTGCTTTTTTTTTTTTTTACTAGTTTATTTTTTCTTTTTCCCCCCTTTTCTTTTCATGAGGTCTTTTTCCAAGACCATTAAGTCTTGTAGTAGGAGATTCTTGCTCGCGCCTGAAACTTAATTCGTCTAACTGTCTGTTCGCTAGATCTTCTATCTGCTTTGTCTTGATCGGGGAATAAAAAAACAAGCATCTGCGACAGTGTGAGGGAGAGGAAGAAGAGTCGTTCAGAAATGAGGAGGAAGACTCGGAGAATGGGATTATGCTACGAGAAGGGTTACAGCTTCTCGGACCATTAAGAAGATGGTCGGATTGAGAGTCCGGAGACTCTTTTAATCGCAACTCATTCATCTTTTCATTTCTTTCTCCAGCTAAGCTTTGTTTCCTGCCTCTTCAGTCGAAACGGGGAACGGGAATGGGAGGAGCCAGATACGTTTTATTTACGTATTTATTTTCTTGGCCCTCAGGCATTCATTACTTTGTTTTATCTTTTTACGCAGTTAGGCTTTTTGTATGATACCTGAACTCAATTAACTTCTAAACACATTGCTAAATTAAGTAATCTCATTTAAACTGCATTGCATTTAGCCCTTAATAAATTGGCCAAACAATAAGAAGGAAATTTTGAGATTTAAGACATTTTCAAAAGTAATTTTCGTCTGATGCTATCAACTATATTTCTTCTTTTGCTACTTTTTTTTTTTTTTTTTTTTTTTTTTCAAAAGTAATTTTCGTCTGATGCTATCAACTATATTTCTTCTTTTGCTACTATTTTTTTTTCCATTTTTTGCTTAAAGTAGAACAAAATAAGCGAATGTTTTATATTCTATGGTATCTCATCAGCTTCTGTATTGTATTTACGTAAATGATATCTTAATACGTTGTTAAGATACATTGATAATACGTTTGTTAAGATGGTAGCTAGTAGACTAGAACAATTGTGAATTGATCTACTAAACATAATTTCTGTTGTTGTGGTTTCTTATCCCACTTGATCGACAGCAGCATCTAGATCAAGTCCATGAACTCATAGATTTTCAAACAATGAAGAACCGCATCCGAACTGGAGTGCCCAAATCAGGAGTCCAATTCAGGAAACCAATGCATGATAAGATATGGGCAGGAATGGCATTTATTAAATTGCATTTCGGACAAAAGTGATGAATTTTAAAGCCTTTCACATGTCTTTGAGCACGAAAAGGAACCTAGCAAGAGCTAGCTGTTCACATCTACTGCTTGGCCTGATCTTAGCAGCACCAGGACAGTTACAATCGTACCACTCATGAATAGGGACCTTGCTCCAGATAGAATTAATTTCTAGTTTGACCTGGGAAGCGAGTTCGAAGAAAGAAAGAGAGCCATCATCAGTAGCCTTCCTGGGCAGTCGATCTGCAATCTCGTTACCATAAACATCTACGTATGATGGTACCCACTGGAAGAAAATGTTATTATGGACACACAAGCGGCCCAAGTGTTGAACAATATTAACAGTCGTACTGTCACCGTTTGTCCACTATTCAGCCAAGAGACATAAATTTCTAAAACACTGCATCTGACGAGATCCATTCAGATGACAAATTTGGTTTTTAAACTCGTGAAAGTATTGAAATAATAATATAAAAAGTGGGAAAAGAAAAGTGAAAAAAAGAGCGATAGAATATTTTTTATTAGTGTCTGGACATATGTAATTGATATATATTTTATATGTTTATTTTACGCAAAGAAAATAAGACATTTCAAAACTGGGAGTATTACAGTTGAATATCTCGTATAAATCTGTGTCCTTGTCGTCTTCTTCCAGCCTCAAAAACGAAAAAAGAATTAAACTCGGTGCTTCTTTTATAACTTTTTTATCATACAAAATCAACTAAGAACGGCATTCATCAAGAATATAAAAAGCATTCAGTTCCCAGAGTGGAAGTATAAATACAGGAACCTGTTAGTTGGACCACATATGGTTGTCTCGGATAATTTCGGTTTTCTACGGAAACAGTAGATTTACAGAACCATTATTAGTTCATGTTTATTAATGCTGTCAAAAATTGTGGTCACTTTTTAGAAGAGGTTGTCTTAGTAGTGGTAACGAGAAGCCCCCGTATATTTCTAATCGATATAACCCTATCAATCCCTTTTAATTAAGAGGGATACTATCGAGCAATTCGATGTTGTTTCATTAAACTTCGCGAGGTTCTTATTTTTTTAATCATTATCTGGTGGCTTTTATAGCAGTTTTGTAGAAATTCTTTTTGTCACTTCAAAGTTTTACGTTCAGTTCCTAAGATATAAAATTTATTTGCTGAAAAGCTCTTGTTAATACCTTTTAATAATGAGTCATGAAAAGCCACTAATTTAATTCGGTCGGTTTAATTCGTCGTGTTATTTTTAGAAAAATTACAATTTTATTAATACTCTTTTCTAATTTTTTAAATGTATGTGCAAGACAAAAGCTATTATATTCCTTTCAGTGAATGGAAACTATTTTCACTAAATTCAGCTATATTAAAAAGCGTTACCTCAATTAAATCTTGCAGATTCAATTCTTATTGCAGATTCAAAACTTCAGGTTCAAACACACTTTTTAAATCAAAATTGCAGATTCATCAATTTTGATTCTGATTTGCAACCAAATGAACCAGACTCATATTTCGAAGAAAAATTCTGAAAGACTTTTCTATAATTTCTTCTTGAACATACTCACTTTCAGAAATATATGTTTGGAACCGCTATGTAACAGTACTTAATGAGAAAGGTACCGGCTATTATTCACCAAGGCATAAAACCTTCTTTTGGGTTCCCGGTTTCAATATGCTCGCCCCATTATGAAAATCAGATTCTTTTCGCTGACCAGCTGGTATAATAATTAGTGACACTGACTGCCATATCGAAGGGCCCGGGTATCGAAAGTCTTCTCGAGAGCTTGGTGGTAGACCCTCAGACATGTCTTCCCAGGGTGCTCTCCTTCAAAAAAAGGGGGGGACTGAGTATGGTGCATAAGGCTCTTTCGAACGGCAGACGCAAGCTTGCCTCCTTGCCACAATGAATTTCATGGGTTTGTTCTGGTAACAGAGAAGCGAGATTAATCGCAACAACAGCAGATTTTTTTCGGCTTACCACATTTGCTTTGTTAAATCAGAATAGAAAGTGTAAAACTCCACTTGCATAGCGCTGTCCGGACAGAAAAATAAATGCCGTCTATATCATAAGGGCTAGACACCTTAATGCTGGGATACACTTGTGAAAGTTCATCTCTTCGCGAACAATGGATGGCTTGAATAAAACTGCCAACATCTTTATGACATGGCACCATTATGAATGTGCCATTAATTTGTTTATATCATATGCATGTGTCGTGGCAAGACTATTTAGAGTATTAACTATTAAAATTATCTTTTGTACAGATTCATCCTCTGAGTGGACCCATAGAAGGCGGCACTTTGGTTACAATTGAAGGCAGCAATCTTGGCACTAGTGAAGATGAAATCCGGGACAACATCACCATCGGTGGAATACCCTGCACACTCGAAGGCTACTCTGTCTCTGTCAAGTAAGTCTTCAAAAGCTAACTGTTTGATTTTCCATTTATGCTATTTATTGTAGCTAACAGTTCATTTTGTATTTACAGTACAGATTTTTCCTGTGCATGCGTATTATCCCTTTGGGTGAAATACTCATACGAAATTTTTCGGCCTGCTGAAAAAGCGAATTTATTGGATTTATATATAATCCATTAACATAATCTCTCATCGGTTTGAAAATGGAATTGCCATTTCTTTCAGTCCTTCAAATAATCCTCACTTATTCGAAGTGTTGCATCCCCTGACATCTTTTATAAATCTTTTCCCCTCGCATACAATCAAGTACTGTTAATCGAGCAGGGTCTTTCGGGCTTTTATAGTGTTCTGGGGCCCTCTTTTATACCAGTTCTCGGAAGAATAACATGGATCATAATCGAATATTGGTTCTTGTGTATTAGTGGGAGCTTGAGGTAGTGCGTATATTGCCCATACGTTTAATAGTTGTGATCGTTTTCATGCTGAATTTCTGTTGGCAGACCTTTTATCGTTGCTATAAAATAATGAACGATACTTTCCTTCGCTGAAAGACAATTTCAAATTTTGACAATTTTTTTAAAATGGTTGAATCTCAGTTAGATTTTTCTTTTCGTGTTCGTACAAGAAAATAAATGCCCTAGCATTAGATAGCTTGAATATGTAATCTCTAGGCACAAAATTCACCAATTGATGGTATAGTTCTCGCCATATACCGTACTAACGTTTGGACTAAGGGGATAATATGTTAAGCACTGTTTCTCTTAGCACAAGATTAGAACTGGTCTCCGTTTTTAAGAATTTTTTCTTATTATAAATATAAAGATTTATATTAAAACACTCTGCATGTTGTTATAATGTTTTATTTCTTTTACAGAGCGGTTTGTCGCACAGGATCCAGTGCTGGACCCATGGCAGCTGAAGTATTAGTGGGTAATAAAGCAGGGCTAACACAGGCCAGGGAAAGATTCTTCTACAAGGTTAGTTTTCGTATTTATATTTTAAACATATATCCATAAACTCATTTTCATTTAACGACCTTTCGTAACTGCAACTGCAGCTGATGAAATTATTGTGCAATCTAATGTAATTTGCAGTATATGATTTTAGCTATTAGTCTTCGGAAATAATTGCAGAGAGAAAAATCGTTAGAAATCTCATAGAACCAAAACGCATTGAACGTTAAAACACATTTTTATCTCCAGCGCACGAGACTGTGTATCGGAAATTCTGAAGATATGCTGTTTTGAAATATTTTGTGGTATTGCTGTTGAACTAAATTTTATGGGGTTTAAGTGCAAAGAACATGATACTTAATAAATAAAGGTAAAACACAAAACGTTAAAAAAAAACACTTTTGGGTGTAATGTAAAATCTAAAAACTTTCAGTTTTTTTTTTTTTTTTCTTCTTTAGACTCAAAAGGTTTTAGATCATTTTAAGGGGACTCATACACCTTAAAATCCATAAGATCTTCGAATATGTGACTGTTGCAAGAATTAAGATAACTTATTTATTTTACAAGCAATTACTTCCAACTTTTTAGAGCTGACTATATAATATAGCTACTTTCTGAAATAGTAATCAGAAAGGTTTTATTGCCACAATAATTTTTATAATTTAATCTGCTTTGTGACAAAGGTTTTCGTCATGTTTCCGCCTTGCGCGCACAGTTTAAAACATTTTGTTGCATAATTTAATTCCATATTTAATATATAGCATTTATAAAATTTGGAAACTACTGTGTACCAACAATTCTAAGAATTTCATCTTGAAAGTTTTATTTTATTTGGAGTTGAGTTTATAAAATGTATTTCACTAAAAATATCTCTAATGTTTTCATGCATAAATGTTTTAATATTAAAATATTCATCATATTTTTGGTTCAGTTAGAAAATAGTGCCCATATGAAGAATTCCATCCAATTTCAAGTATGTACCATTAGCCATTTTTAAAATATCATGCGAGCAAGGTGGAAACAGGACGAAATATTTTGCCACAAATCGGATTAAATTACAAAATTATTTGTGGCAACACAAACTGGATTTAGTTTTCTGGTTACTAGCTAACAAAGCAGCTACATTATGTAGTCAGCTGTAAAAAGTTGGAAGTAATTGCTTTTAAAATAAATAAAATATCTCAATTCTTGCAACAGTCAAGTATTCGAAGATCATAAGGGGTTTAAGGTGTATGAGCCCCCTTAACACTTTATTTGCTCAATTTTGCACATTATATACCGTTCTATACCTCCCAAGATATCTTTAGTGGGATAAACTTACTCCTACCCTATTTGATTCATTTTTAAAGATGAAATCAGGTGTCTACGAACAACCGTTCAAGAGTTAGTGGTTTTAATATTTTTGAGACACAGTATGCAACTCAATGACGTATATCACGTTGAGGTATAGTAGATTTAAGAGATTACGCTATTATGGTTTATGGTTTTAAAATACAGTTGCTTTCTTCTCTTTCCGTCCCAAAGGAAAATGGTGGCATTTTCACGCTGTTCTTTTTCATGGTTCTTTCTCCTTTTTAAATCAGTAATGCAATTCTCTAATTCTCTCTCTTTCCCATGTGATTCTTCATACTGTTAACAACATAAAAACGCGGCAACCCGCGGCAAAACGGTTCGGAAGCAACTATTTTCGGGACGGAAAGTCGTGTTTAAACGAAAAGAGAACGATCAACTTCCGGTTCTAATTGGATAACGAGTCAACAGGAAGCCGAAAAGATAATTAATTTCCAACTCCGGCGGGATAAGATTTAAAAAAAAATACAGGGGATGAGATAAACGCAACTAACTCCTAACGATAAATAAAATAAGAGGGTGGAATGAAAAAAATACCTCATTAAAAGTTTAAAACGAAAAGAGGGGGATATGTAGCTTACTTAAATTAAGCGTTAAAAAACCAAGCGAAACAACATCATTTGAAAGCCATGCAGACGAATATTTTTATCTTCCCTTTTTTGTGACATTTTTTTTCGAGTCTTCGTTTTCCTTTTTATCTGCAATCTGGGAAACACGGAGCCCAGAAATAATAATAGTTAAAAAAAGTTGCCTTTAGTAAGAGCTAATGCGAATTTGAAAGTTTGATCGAAATTCTGTGCTTTATTCTATTTATTTTTTTTCTTCCCTACCTGCATCTACGATCTTAATAATGAATTTTTTTTTTCTTTCTCTTTTGCATGCTAAGCGAATTGAATTGCCGAGCTGTTCGATCGGGACGCTTCTGAATAGCGATTCTGCGTTAACCGAGGCGTGCGTTTCCAGAACCGCATAGAAGTGGCTTTTTTTGCAGCGTACCAACCACACTCAATCTTTTGGAGTGGAAATGTTATCGATTTTGACAAATTTTATCGATTTAGACCACGTAGAAGTCAATGCAAATTGCTTGATAATCGCATCTATAGCTCAAGACGAAGGGGGAAACGCAACTAAATCTTCACCTGACGAATGATAGATGGGAGTTGTTATCAGCTTCGTCTGTTGAGGAATTCGAATTAAATCACCGAATTAATGTCAATAACATTTTTAAATGATTTAATACACAAGAATAAATACTGCGTCCAGAAACAATTGTTATGCTGATAATTTAATTTTTGACCCAGAAACTATTCAAATGTTTGTGATTCAATTTGAAAGAATTCGTTTTGGGTTTATCGACTGCGCTTGCATTTCCCGAGTGAAAATTATCCCAGCCGCAGATTATAGTGAAAGGAATTGTCGTAGGATTTTGCATTCTTTTTTATATAAAATTATTCTTCATTTCAATGCACTTATGCCCATTTATTATTAAGAGTAATGGTTTATAGTCACACTGAAGCATCAGCATTATACCATTGTCAAAGCACTATACCATCAGAAATTGTAACTTTTTTTTTTTTTTTTTTTTTTTTTTTTTTTTTTTTTTTTTTTTTTTTTGAGGAAATAAAATTTCAAGGTTCTGCAAATGCATAACGCCGCATTTTTCTTAAACAGACATATTATTGACCTCTTCCATGATTTTATAGATAATGGCCATAAGTTAAATCTAAGCTTATCTTTGTTGGATTCATTGATTTTCTATACAGTAAATAATTTCATAAATTTTTTAAGATTTGAATCACTTTTGTTTCTTATCAAACAATGTGAATGCAGTTTAGTACTTCTCAAATCTTGGGAAAGATATTTTCCTTCCTTGTACACGTAACTTTTTATTGAATTGTCCGGTAAAGAAATATATAACGTTATGTTAAATATTTCATTCTCATGTTGCATAAGTGCACACTTAATTAAATGGAAAGGAATTAATTAATTCTTACTTCTGTATTTTTAAACTGATAAATTGACTTGCTGTAAGTTTTCCCTCTGAATAAATGCACCTTTTTTTTCAGTCTTTAGATATATAAAATTATCGCTCAATTTTTTTTTCATTTTTTCTAATTATTAGTTGTTATATAAAGTTCAGTTGGTGCTGCATTACCGAAACCGTAAAATTAATGCAGCTAATTATGCAAATTGTTTCAAAACAGTTAAAAAAATTCGTCTTTGAAAAAATTAGGCTATCAGGAATTTTAAGTAATTAGAACAAATACAACCAAATACCGAAGTTAATGTTTTATTGGATTTTAACTATTTATGATAATTTAATTTTGTTTAAATGATACGAATTGTGAATATGCACCACGTTATGCTTTAACACGCTATAAAAAATTCTTCCTTTCTGCATGCTTTTCTGTTATAACTAAAATACGCTCGATGCATATGCGAGAGATCCGAAATTCAAATCTCAACGAGCGCAAAGCGGATTTTTTTCCTCCGTTTCGCATGTCTACGTGGTGTAACGGGAAGCATGCTTGACGCGTATTCAGGAGGCCCTGAGTTCCGAATCCCGGCAAAAGCATTATCTGTTTTTCAAGTTTCGGCATGGATATAACCTAAACACTCTAATATGTGCTAGTTATAATCTAATAACCCCCCGGGGGTCGACGTAGAGAACTCTGCGAAGCTACTGGCTAGGATCTGTACCTAGGCAGTCTCGGCCACGGGGGTAGGTAGGTAGGTAACGGGGAGCACGGGCACTGTCCCTTTACCATAATGGTTAATCGGTATTGCACCGTGCCCACCACTGTCTAGAGCCAATGTGTAGGAGCCACATTTGCGCCCAGCACCAAAAGCCGAGGCCCAACGCTCGGACCATCCAGAGGGCAGTCAAACTGACCAAAAGCGCCCTCCATACAACGCTCACCCAACCGTCCAGGCATTAGTAATAAAATTTATGAACTTGGTGGTTCTGAAGGCTCTGGGAAAGGTCACTTATTGGCCGGCCCCGGAGTCTGGCACGTCCTAGCGCGGCGTGGTACTAGTAACCCGGGGTTCTTCCCCGGGGTCGCTGGGTAATGTCCCACTGCGACGGGCTCGCCCAAGCGACTGGTAGGAGCATTAGACGACCGGTGCTGCCTGGGGTGCGTCCCCAGGTGGTTCGCTGCTCTCCTGGAGGGTAATAGTGGAGGTTGAACCACCACGACGTACCCAAAGGGGGAGTGGACCCGGAATGAGATTGAGTTCTCGATACGGGGAATGCCTTAATCTTCTTCTTCTTATAATCTAATAACTCTATACCCTTATCAAATGGAATTATTTTTATCCACAGGTGATATTTTTATTTCTCAAATTCGTTTACTGCTTCAGTCTAATGAAGCTTTTGAACGCCAGAATTTAACTCTTAAATCATTTGGGTATTTGAATTTTAATTTTGCCTTAGACTTAAGTATAAATATCTCTTTTTCCGGTTACAAACTATATTAACACATATCGCAAAAGTGCTTTATTAAAACATGGACTGTTATAAAAATAATAATGCTAGTAATAACATTCGTTTGAAATTGTGGTACTTTTCTGTTATCGGAACCGGATTCAGATATCGACAAATGTTTTGTAATAATGTCCAATGCAACACTTTTGTGGACATGCTAATTCTTTTCTCCTATTATATTTTTATTTAAATCGTAATAATCTTTAATTTTTGTACAAACGATCTCACGATTTCTGTTATTGGAGCGATTCCGGTTCCGATAACAGAAAAGTACCGAAATTCTTTCGGAAATCGATCCATTATGCATACATATTCATTTCATTCTACTGCTGTGTTACGTAGGTGGTGGAGCTATCTCGGGTACATCCAAACAAGGGACCTCAGTCCGGAGGCACAAGATTGTATCTCATTGGCACGAACTTGAATGTGGGTAGCAATCTACGAGTCATGCTGGACGAATTGCCTTGCGAGGTTGACAGGTGAGTGAATAGCAACGAAACTTGTACACATAAAATATGTTGTAAACTTTTTGGCTGAGGTATTTTTGATTATGTATTTCTAAAAGTTCAGTCCTTGGTGTTTTTAGAACACTAGCAAGTAACAGCCAAATCAGCTGCCTAACTACAAGGAGTCGTCTTCCGTCCTACAACGTTAGTATGCTGAGACTGTTCGTCGACCACGCCCTCTTGACTCTTCCAAATCCATTTGCCTACCGAGATGATCCAGTAGTGAAGAAAATCACGCCTCTCAAAAGTTTTGTCAGGTAAGTCTTTAAACAATTTTGTTATAAATATACAAATTCAAATATGAGGTTTTGAACAACTGAAGTAAATTTTTTAATCTAATGCAAATAGATATTTAATTTTTATCCGCGGTTATAATTTATGTATTCAGTTAAACATAATGAATGTGCTTTAAACTCGGTGTATATCAGTTCTTACAGGGTAGATGAACTCAATGAAATTGGAATATTTCAGCGTTAATTAGATTGATTCAAGTGATTCTTGATAATTGTATTTTTGAGCACAGAAGGATGTATGATATGTTAACGGGTCTACAGGTGATGTTATATGATTTTCCACAGTTACGCCAAAAACGTCGAGATGATATTCAGGTTCATGTTATACTAACTCAAGCATGTCTTTTGTCACCGATTCCGTACATAGCAAAACAACGTAGTGTCTGAGGTTGTAAGGATCTTAAGTTTTACTAACGTTTATTTTATTTAAATCTTTACTATCACTTCTTATTTTCTACTTCCGGCCAGAATTAAAAGCTTTAACTTTAGCGACGTTTATGCAAATTTTCTTGCGAACGCCAAGTACTTAAGTTGTGGCTTTTTGCCAAGCAAGAGAGAGGAAGGAGTTAGTAAAAGCAGGCCGCTTGCCTTAGCAGTTTTACTCGGTTGCTGGTTGCCTTCAAGGCCAGAGGTTTAATCCTCTTGATAATTTTAAACGTATCGTAGTGTTAGCAGTTCTCTGTACTACATACGGCTTTTTGCTAATATACAGCCAATCTTGGAGTAGGCACTTGTTTGATTAATCCAAAGTTTAGTTAGAGTTTAGTTAATATTTTTATATTCTTACGTTCAGACCACAAGTGGTTGGTCTCTGTATTCCGAAGTCCGGAAATCATTGTAAAGAGAGAAAAATAAAGGGTTTCGTATACCCTTCCTGTGTATATTGTCTACTTCCCAAAATTTATTGAACATAGCTTTAGTAAGCTCCCTGTTCCGAGTCAGGACATTTAATGTTCCCAAAGCAAGTAAGGAGGAACACAGAACCTGATAAGGTTAACGAAATTTTTTGGTAATAGTGTCTTATGTATATAATCTTTAATGTAAACCCATAGTCTTCTGCTGCATAAATTCTGTTGAGCGAGGGAACTGATTGTTGCATTCAAATGTGATCATTCCAATACCAGGAAAGCACTTTGCTGAGAAGTCGGTGGATATCCGAATGGCGGTGGAGCGACGTTGTCATGTGGATTTTCCTCGAAATTGTAGCTAGAATCTTCGTTTTTTTTTTTTTTAATTACATCTGCATCATATCTTGATAAGAATGTTCTTTCTTTGTTCTTGCCTTGAATAGGGAATAATCCAATAACTTTTCGAAATGGCATAAGACATTAAATTCTGGTGAAGACGCATTAGTGCGAAATCGTTGCCTGTTATCTTCAGTGCTCATAAGCGAAGGTTTTAATGTTTGTGTTTCTCACTGTGGTCATAAATTGCTCGATACCAACGTTTTAACTTATCCCCCATGGCTTTCAGTTTACAAATGTATGGTTTCATCATCGATTTGTACCACAAAATATGCCAAACAGTCGTCTCTGTCAGTATTTAAGTCTGGTGCATTTTGTCGCCATTTTCGGGCTAGGTAGGATTTTTAGCTCAAAAGGGGCTATTGGTCGCGAAATGGAATTTCCCGTTGGTTCAATGTAAACGGCGAATCACTTTTCAGATTGCTGCCACCAAATAGACATAATTAATTTTTGTTATTTCCTTCATATTAAAATTTACAACTCTGCTTCTTTAAAAAAATGTTCTTTCTTTTTACTTACCTCATCTTAATTCTTGAAATCTTAGAAGTGTGATATTTAAAAAATAATGACTTTAAATTCTTTGCTTAAGTTTGCGTACTATATTGTGCTCATTGCTTTCGCATTGTGCCGCATGCGCAAGGTCATTATCTCGTCTATTTACGCTATGATAGATTATGATGTAAATGAGTCATTACGAGACATGGAAGATAAATTCGGAAAGATATGGGCCTCATTTAGGGGGCAAATTACCCTTTTCCTTTATTAGCGGCCTTTCCGTTTTACTTTATGCTTACCATTTATGTTGTGTATTTGCTCACGTCTGCATTTTGTGGTTCCTTTTCAGCGGTGGAAGAGCGGTGACGGTGAGCGGTGTCAACTTCCTGCCCGTTCAGCAGCCCCGAATGGTTGTGTCCAACAATGGCAGTCTAGTCAACGAAACGGTAAGTTCCCTTTCATATGCTCCTCTCCAACGGTCTCTTTTCCATTTATCTGATTCCCCTCGTCTTCCGTGAGTCCTATTTCACGAGCATGATCAATATTGGGCACTTAAAAATTAATAATCTGGCGGTTATTGCTTTTAACATGGGCGGGGAAGCCATGGCTTGCGTTTATTCACAATGCTGGCCAAACGTATGTTTTCTGAAAACTGCAGTAACAGAAGGCTGTGACTTAGAGATGGATATTTTTTCCTAATTAATTCCACCATTCGTCTGGCGCATACCCTTCAAGGTTTTGTGCCATTAATAGTCAACCAACCAACCTAATTAATGCCAGTTTTCTAAACCGTACTGGCTTAAAACCTTGTAACACTGTAGGGTTTTTATTATTTTAACTAACATTTATTTTAAGTTTAAGCTATTCTTCCTGTCAAGCCTTTACTTTCCCCTAGAATTGCCAATGCCAGAGTATGTAAATCGTAGTAGAACGCGCAGAGTATTCAAATTTCAGCAGAAGTAAATTGAGTTTAAATAGAAGGGAAACGAGATTGTAAGTGTGCTTCTTGAATCACGAGCGTGAAGGTTGCTTGTTAGAAAAGTTAAAAACCGCGCGTTTCGGCCTGTGTGCCTATTTCGACAGTTCGTTGAATCTTTCAAATTCTTAATCAGAAAGTTTGCTGAATCTCAGCTGTATCTTAGAACGCGGTTAAGTTAGTTACGATTATAGAGCCTCGTAGGTAGTGACCTCGTTATTTATTCATCCTGTCATTTATTTTTAGTTGTACTTTTCTATTTTTGTTACACCGCCGGGTCGGCGTAGTTTGTGAGCGTAAAGTGAACGCAACTGTGATTTTTAAAGTGAAATAAAAAGGGATTTAAACCCTTCTTACGAGTTTGTATAATTTGCAGTTTATAGCAGTCACTACTACTGTTGCTGACCAGTTGGGGCCTCCCAACATCATAACACCTTGGACATGGGAATCTTTCATAAGGTATCCAGTAGAACCTTGTTTATAATAATCATAACTAATTATCATTTCGCCATTTCGGATATGTTTTTTAGAATCGTTTGGAAGGTATACAGTAGGTCGCATGCCCATTCATGCGAGAAAATGACGACGAAGCTATTTCGGATAGCACTTTTTTTTTTTTCCAGATATATCTACGCGAACATTTCGAAACGTATGCAGTAGAATTTTATTTTCCGAATTAACACTAGCAAGGCTATTTCGGATAACACACTTTTTAGATATGCCCGTAGTAATTTTTTGGAAGTATGCTGTCAAACCCCATTTATACGAAATAATGATGGTGGGTCCATTTTGGATAGGATCTTTTTTTATATATATCTACGGGAATCTTTGTCGGAACTAATGATGGCAGTGCCTTTTTAGATAATCCTTTTTTCTGATATGACCATGGGGATCTTTCAGAAGTTTGTATTGGCATCAAGATGTTATAACAGATACATTTAGATATCTGTATTATTTAAAGCAATTAGTGATTTCCTTTTCACAGTAGAAGAAAATAGAAAAGTTTTCTTTCTTACGTAAGATGGAAATGTACTGAAATATTAAAAAAAATGTCAGTATATTTAATATTATGAATATTTATGATTATGGCAAATGATATGTTACTTTTTTTAAGTACTTCAAAGAAGGTGTTACTACCAGCTTTGAAAAAATAACAAATTTCGTATTTCATTTATTCTTTCAAGTTACGTATTACGAATCTGCGAAATGTAAAATTTGTATAGTGCAATTTAAATATCTATCGTTCCCATTCATAATATGATAGGTAACTTTCAAAGGCAACAGATTCCCCTTCCCATCCTTTTTAGCCCAAAGGGCGTTAACCCAGAAGGCTATTAATTTCGTTTTGGTATTTTGCGCTGATTCACCATAAACGGCAGGTCACTTTTTAAATTTTTGCCGCCAAATATTAACACCTGTGTTATATTTAAAGAAACTAAATAATGAAGAATATGCTAAATGTATGTTTCTCGCATTGTGATAAAACAACGGTACCTAAAGCCATGAAATTTTGAATAACGTATGTCTTCACCCGAATATGAGCATCTGGAAGCCCAAATTTGGAATTTGTTTTATTATCTACTTCACATTTTGGAAAACTTTAACGAATTTTTGATTAGCATATTCAACGATTTCAAAGCGACCAATAGCACCACTGTACTGTACGAAATAAAAATATTTTTTTATCTCCTACGCGCGAGACTGTGTATTGGAAATTCTAAAGATATGCTGTTTTAAATATTTTAGTCCCACCAGCGGCCGAGCGGTAATGTCGCTGACACTGGTAGTTCGGTCCGAGATTCGAATCCCGCGAATGGGCTGGCTGCATAGACTTTTCGTGGTTTTCCCCATGTGTTACTGTATATGACCATTTCCCTTAGAAGTCCTCCACGAATGCATCCCTCCCTTAGGCAGATAGCCCTCGATGCTTTGCCGTAATCAATAAATCAAAACCAAACTTAAAAATATTTTAAGATTTTACTTTGAATTGAATTTTATGATAAAGTGCGAAGAACATGATTTAATAAATAAAGGTAACACACAAAACGTAAAAAAAAACGCCCCTTAGGGTGTAATATAAAATCTGAAAGCTTTTAGATTCTCCCTCCTTTTTTCTTTTTTTCTGATTTTTCTCCCGTGTTTTGTTTTGTATTCTGAAAATTGCATATTTAAATAAATATTATGAGTGATCTGTGAATCGTAAACCCTAATTTCCTTTTCTTTTAAATGAAAAATCTCTTTTAGGTGTTATAATATATGTATAATTTATTTAACCTTCTAAGTTGCCAAAGGGAATGCGAAAAATTGACGGTTTCATTTATTTAAAGCAGATTTGCCTTTTTTTCCCTCAACATTTTTTCCAACAATCCTATCCGAATTACGCTTATGCTAGAACTTTTATGGAACAAAAGTGCTTAATCATGGCGAAGATTAGGTGCAAAATCGGGAGAAAGTGTAGAATCGCCCACTGCTTGCCGCGTTTTTAAGAATTTCATATACACGGTATCCATGTACACGCCGACCTATTTTCACTTAAAAAAACATCCCAGAATTTCACAAAAATGGCATTGCGCACACTCTTGACTTTATCCGTATACACATCGACCTATTTTCACTTAAAAAGTCAAAGAAAATTGACAAAAATCCAATTCTTCTTACTCTTGTAACAAGCGCCAAACAATAAGTGGGCGATTCTGCACTTTAGCAGCGAAATTGTTTCTAAGTGCTTATTAGCTAAATTCCCGATTGGAATTTTCCGGAAAAATGTCACATTACATGTCTCATGATCTCTCATTTCTCTGAGACAAAATAATCTGTGATTCGAACTGTGTACTTCTCAGATTATTGCTAAAGTCCTAGCTAGTAACCTTTATCGCCTTACCAAAATGTCGCCAAACTACCTGTTACCATATTTCAAAGATTAGCCAAAAGGTTTATTTGTGGTAAAATTTAGTAACCTTTATCGCCTTTCTAAAATGTCGCCAAACTACCTGTTACCATATTCCAAAGATTAGCCAAAAGGTTTATTTATGGTAAAATCTAGTAACCTTTATCGCCTTACCAAAATGTCGCCAAACTACCTGTTAACATATTCCAAAGATTAGCCAAAAGGTTTATTTATGGTAAAATCTTCAAAGTCTTTTAAAAACGTTTAGCGCAATTTAAAGAATTGCACAAGCCCGCTTCCTTGATACGAAATTCTCAGAAAAATAAAAATTTAAAGAAAAATTCTAGCTTGTGCCTTGAAATATTAGTCAGCTGACTTTAGATATTAGTGAAAACTATATAAAAATTGCAAATAAAATGATTATCCTATATAACTCGTCGTAGGTTTTGTAGACAAAAAAGCTCGGTAAACACTTTTCATTTAGGAGACAGTAAGGATAATTTGTGCGACAATAAAGCTAATCAAGCATGAGTGGTTCCACTTCTAAGAAATTTGTGAGGATAAGAAACACTATACTTGTGCTTGTCTTTATGGCTACACGCATATCCTTTCTCTCTTAAATGAATTGCAGTCATAAAATTGATATAAAGTATAAATCAAATTTAAAGCGGAAGGCGAAGTAGCTAAGAAACAGTTTGTTGCAGAAAGAACGAAGACAAATTATTCCCTGTCATATAAAATGACGGCACATCTTTCATCTTCTTTAAAGTTTTCTTTTCCCCATCGCCCTCGAGTGTCGCAATATTCGTCGAAGTCGACATTTTATATGGGAAAAAAATCGAAAGCTCTGCTCAGCCATCGCTGCGTTCATATCGAACACGTAAACTAGAAACGTATCTTTTAAGTAGGTAATTTTGTAGTGAGTTTTGTTTATATTTTCTGTCGTTTACGTAGTTATTCGTATCGTATTTCTGAATTCGCTAGGGAAAATAAATTTATAGATTACGGAAATAAACCATTTAGTAACTTTAATATTTAATATTCCAAGACATCGGCTGCGGATCGAACTTTGAACCTTCTGATCTGCAGATAACGCTCTGCCTTTTAGTTAATATTTAACTGGTGAACTTTGACCGTGACTAATTAATCTTACTTAAAAGTACTTCGCTCTCTGCAGAAAAAAGAACATCTATACGCATATAAGTGTAATGAACCTCACATGTAAGTTGTGTAATTAACTATGGCTAAATTCGCCGAAGGCTGTCTATCTAACCGGAGCCTTCATGGAGAAATTTAAAAGGGAAATTGGATTATTAGACTTGCGATAATCGACGCTGCTTAGCATCGGTATGGTCTTGAATCGACACCGGCATTCGACGACACTAGTCACCAACGTAGGTCGACACGATGAAAAGAAACTGAGATAATGTTGAAAAAATAAGTAATGCGATTAATACACTTATATCACCTGGTATTGAATCGTCATAGCTATGCTATCGACATTGCTTATGGCCGACAGCAACATATTCTAATCATTGAATGTTATGAATTCTTGGATCATATTGGCATCTGTTGAATGGAGGCGGCATAGGATCAGTACTGCTTAGTATCAGCACGATGTAGAATTGACACCGACAATCGTCTGTCACTAGTTACTAGCATAGATCGACATGATAAGAACGATATTGAGATAATGGTTATATAATGAATAACAGGATTAATGTTCTTTTGTCACTAGTATAGATTCTTCGTAGACATGCAGCCGTCAGCAACAAGATGACAACGCCAAAAGATCGGCAAGCATAGAATTGACTCTGTGTAAAATCGATATCGGCATATAGTGTTTATTAGATAGCGTAGATAAAGTTTATAATTAGAAAAAGCAAATTATTAAGAATATAAGAATTTGTTTATTATTCTTAGAATATCGGAACAGCACGGGCCGGTGGTAAATAGACACCGGCACAGGTTCGAAACCTGTTTTTGAGCTACTGTCTCTATCCTGTGCTGGCAGAGAGCATCGACATTGTATCCCCCCCCCTCGTATTCAGTTACTTATATGAGGAAAATTACAAATATGCCTATGCAGCAAGTCTATTGCCCAGAATTTGAAACCTAGTCAAACAACCGATGTCCAATAGTTATCCACTCGGCCATACCCTTATATATAGTATATAGTTTGGACAAGAGTCCAAGTTTATAGCTTTTCGTGAATACATTTGATCAGTTTTTATGAAAAACCTTCAAGTTATCTAATTTGAAACCGAAATGTTTAACAATTGAGCCTGAAGTTATTATATCTAAACAAAATGAGATAGCTTGTTTTATAATGTTTTATTCATTAATATCTTTTCAGGTATGTGAAGTTCGGTCCGATCACCTCATGGTTTGCCCTTCACCATCTGTGTCTGGTTCAACTTCCAAGTGGCAGCTGATGACTGATTATATGGCAGAAGAGAGTGCCGACCACTTACTGCGTCTTCGCATAGGATTTATCATGGATGGAGTTGAGAGTGTCCGGTCTCTTCAAGATTCATTTCCCAGCCTTCATTCCGACCTCACTTACGTAACAGATCCTAAGTTTTTGTCCTTCGATGGTGTGAAATTGTATAAAGGAGAATCTTTGGTCATTGAGGTAAATATCGTTTATATGATGATATGCTATTGTAATTAACAGATGTAGGATAATCCAAAATTTCCAGCCATGGATTTTGCAAATATTTTTTTAAAGAATACTTTTACAGCATGGTTAAAAGGATTTTCAGCATCACGTAATGAATTTAAACATCTTATGAAGTAATTGTGCTACTGTGGTTTTTGCATGCTTAAATTTCAAGTGTTCCAAATATGTAATAATGCTGGCATTTTTGCGGAGACGATATTTATACTTAGGTTAGACGTGGATATCGCCTTCAACTTGCTGCCTACACAATATTTACATAACTATATTTATGCAAACAACCATGAGCCTTTAAAAATAGACAGACGTTTCCCTGTAAAGAAAATCAAACCTTGTATGCTGAAAACGCCGGAAAAGTATACGTGATCAGTAACATGAAAGTGTATATTTTGCCATGTGTAACAAGAACGTTTCTACCTTCTGTAATGTGAATGTTTGGACTATGGTTACCGGTTGAATCTCATACCTTCTGTTTGCGTAAAGAGCCACTTTCAAACTCTTTAGTCAGCTATGGATATATTCTCTTAAGGATATGAAATTTGAAACTACCCCTTCAAGATGTGGCGGTTTTAAGCACTTTAAAACCATAATCTGACCGGATGTAACATTCATATCTCTGTCAGTAGTTCAGATGCAACGTGTCTCGGCAGCCTGTAATGACTGTTGAATGGTCTCTACGCCATTAAAGTTTGCCTAATGATTGATGATGACTTTTTGAGTGCTTTGAAATTAAAAGTGTAAATAAGTTGTTCCTTGTAAGGGATTCCTTTTTGTGGGCCGCCATAGTAGAGACTTTGAACTTTCCGTGGATGGGCCGTTTGCTAAGACTTAGTATTACCTGCTTGAAGAGTAGAAATTCTATTAATTTCTGTGTCTTTATATCTAGTGATTTATTTCATATGCTTGTTGGGTTTTGTACGGAAAAGGCCTTGCCTGTGAGGGAAATTATCATGAATCGGTTTCCTATTTAGGCATATTTGGAAATTTATCCACGTATGCTTGTGATGAGAAGACCTGTCTTCCCAGGACTACAATGAAGCCGACAAGCCTTTGGGCCAGATAATGCTTCTCTAAAATGGGACTATCTTTCTCTTTCCTCCCGCTTCATAAGGAGCTGAGCTAAAAATTTGAGACCATGTAGTTGCGTACTTGGATGCAGAAGCACGTGTAAAAATCATTACTATAATCCTCGTACAGTAAGACCCCGCTTAACGCGGGGGATACATTCCATCAAAGTAGAGCGTAATGCGAAACAGCGCTAAACGAGGCTATCTTTACATGTAAATATTGGGGTTAGGGGAAGATGGCTAGGAAATTGGTTCGGTATTAAATTTAAAAAGTGTGTTTTTTTTTTTTTTTATAAAAATAAAACCAAACATTTATTTCTTAAAGCTTAAATTAATACCACGTTATTATTTCTTGCAAAAATAAAAACAAAATATAAATAACAAAACGAATATTCTTAAAAAAAAACAAATAAAATTCTCAGTCAGTCCATATTTAGTTAGCCTTCCGCGTTTTCAGTGTTCTGGCCTTTTTGGCTACAAAAGCATCTAATGTTGTTTGCCTTTTTCTTTTGCGTTGTTCTCTTAAAAGTTCTTCATAAACGGATAGAGCATCTCTAACACCCACGCCTTACTTTTGAGCTCCTGTCAAAATTCGGATCATTTTCAATGAATTGATCCATTATTTCAGTTATGGTAACAAACTAAACTCCTTTTTACAACAAACGCCATCGAAAGTTCTTTTTGCTCTTCTTCTGAATCACTGCTGTCAACATTTTTGTTTTTTCTTGTTCAGTTAATTCCTTGAGCTCATCATTAAAAGACTAGCCGCTGCTTCTTGAATTATTTCTCGACAATCTTCCACATTTACCCCTTCAAAATATGTCTGTACAATACGCACCAAACAAGAAATACAAGTACACTCTTTCGGATATGTATTTGAAACCTATCGCTGCATAATATTTCGGGGAATCCCCGTATGCTGCGAGCGATTTCGTGGAATCCCCGGGTTGAAATAAAAGAGCGCTAAACCGAAACAGCGTTAAGCGGGGTCTTACTGTATTTGAATTTTTCTTAGCATACATCTATCGTCATAACTGCAGCTTGGTTATGTGCAACGACAGGTAATCTTTGCTCATCTACCAAAGGTTCAGCAGCTTAATCGGGCAGGCTTCATGGTACAGACCTGGGTTTCGGTTGAGATTTTAACCCAGGACTTTCGTTTACGTCGCAGAGATGTTTTTATTCTTTAATGTCAGTCAACTACGAGTGTTTTCTTTTTCTTGATGATTTTAAGAGTTGCAATTTCGATTGCTTCATAACTTGATCAAATTCAGCTTTCACAGATTTTTCTTTGCTCAAAAATCAGAATGTGTACCAAGCATGCAAACAAAAATAAATGCAGAGGTATTTTCTTCCTCCTTTCTACATGCCTTCATGGGGTGTAACTGGAGATATGCTCCACGCATATTCGGGAGATGTGCTCGAATCCCGGCGAGGGTGTTGCGGATTTAATTTCCTGACATCTAAAAAATATAAAAGATTCTACAAGTAACGCCCGACATGAAAGGTTGTGGACGATAATTCGTCACCACGAGGATGTGGCGATTAGTCCCTTAATTCCCAGACGTCCTTTAAAAGGGGGAGTGTATAAGGTATTTTCTTCCTTCTTTCCTCATGCCTTCGTTGTATAACTAGCAGTACGCTCGACGCTTATTCATGAGGTCCGGAGTTCGAATCTCGGCGAGGGCATTGCGAATTTCTTGTTTCTGGCATCGACAAATTTTGGAAGTCTCTACATGGTGAACATTTCAGTCTGACGTTCTTTAACTTCGCCACCTCTTACTGTATTTCATCCCTTTCCTGACTTATATGATATATATATCTTAATAATATCTTGAAAAGTTTACTAAAACTAATTTAATATTTTTTTTTTAAATTTCGTTGTTCCCCCCCCCATCACCAGATTTATGAAGTTTAATCCTGGCATAAAGTAATAGACATAACTCGTAGCCTTTTTTTTTTTTTTTCGCTCAAATGCATCAAATGTTTTATGTTATTTTGTTAATGCAATCAAAAGACTATTTAAACCTTTTTATGTAATCATCAGTGCGTTGGTATTTGTGGAAAAAATTACCAATTACGATAGTTTATATTTTTTCACATTATTATTTTACTAGTCATTGTCCTAAAAAACTGGTTTATTTGATAAATGCTATGTTTATAAACTGTAATATTTCTTTTTTCCATATATAGGGTGAAAATTTACGTTTAGCCAGTACTGAGTCCGAGGTAAATGTAACCATTGGTACGAAACCTTGCAACTTGACCTCTCTAGCTTCTACCCAACTGGTGTGTCTTCCTCCTGAAGTTCAACCATCGGGCACAGATGAATATGGTCGTCGTACTGAAGAAGGGCTTCCTATGGTGGTGGTACGATATCTTTTTATGAATTCTAAACAAAGAAAAACTTTTGTTCCATTGGAGAATATTAAATTAAACATTAAAATAAAATATTTTATTTCATTTATTTATTTTTCTGCTCAAAAACGCTTAGATGCGTTATTTCTGTTAAGCCCACTTACCATCTCTTATGTTAAGATGAAGCCATGGAAAATGTTAACTGAGAAGTCCTCATGAAAACAGTGATTAATCTAAATCTGTGTCTGCTTTGTCGATAGCAACAGTCATCTAGCAGATGCAGATATGCACCATTTACAAGTTCAAAGCCCACGATCTTAGAGCAGTGATAAGCTTATCGAGTTCGTAATTCTCCCAGACTCTGGTGATGACCAGAGGAATTGTTCAATGCTTAACCAAGGTAACGCATCTGCTAAGGGTTTCTGAGCAACTTTTCTTTCAATGAATCTCTGTATTAATGAAATGATTCCGCTATGATTTTAGGTTCGAGTGGGTCGAAATCTTCGCTTTGAAGTTGGCTATATAAGATACGAGGTAGCAAAGCGATACGAACTTCCCCCCGAGGCTGTGGGTGGCATAGCCGCGGGGGGTGCCGTTCTTGTGCTTCTCAGCCTCATCATCCTAGCCGTGCTTCGTCATAAAAACTCGCAAGCAGAAAGAGAATACAAGCGCATTCAACTGCAGATGGACACTCTTGAGAACAGTGTACGGTCCGAATGCAAGCAAGGTGAGTGTTTACTTGTAGTATTCTTAAGTCTATCCACATTGAGTGGAGGCTGAATTTCGGCTAATTTTTCATGCCGTTAAGGAAATATAGCTAATTACAAACATTTTTCTCTGATAGCTTTCGCAGAATTGCAGACAGATATGACCGATTTAACCAACGATTTAGAAACATGCGGTATACCCACGTTGGACCACAGAACATACGTAATGAAGGTTTTCTTTCCTGGTGTTTATGACCATCCGTTATTACAAGATTCAAAAGTGAGTATTCTTTGAGAATCAAACTCTGTTTATGTACTTTTTGCTTTTTTTTTTTTTTTTTTTTTTTTTTTTAATTTTCTAAAATGTTCTTATGAGCTTTCTTGTGTACTTAAAACATTTTCCCTCATCTGTGCTTAAAATAATTTGATTCTGATGGATCTAGTACTATTACCCCTCATTTTACTTATCGTCGCGCAGAAAGATTTTAAACTGCATGAAACATTCATTGTTTGGAACACCTGAATATGTTATACTTTACTAGCCCAGCAACGAGCTTGTGCGCGGAAAGTAAAAATTCCTGGGCAGTTTCCACGGGAATCAGTGCAAGGTCAAAAACGCTGCGAAATTAGTCAAGATCTCAATCGAGGGAATTTTGCTCAATAATTTTAATTCACTTTTCAAGTCTGGACTGAGCAAAAATCATTAAATCCTTGAAATTCAACATGATTGTTACGAATTTTATATATATGTAAATAACTTCAGTGAAATTATATATGAAATTGTAGTATATTTTGTATGTTGTATGTTTGTAACATGAAATGCTTGAAAGAGATGAAGCTCTGCCGGAAAAGTAAGATTAAAGGGGCAAGTCTATTTAACATTAAGATTCATGGCTATCTCACTAAATTGGCGGGATATCGCCAAAAGTCGCCTAACTTGGCGACATTTTGATAATTGAATTTTGTTATTTGATAATTAATAACTGTAATTGATTCTTATATCTATGAGAGACAAAAGGAAAAAATGGTGTGACAAAAATGCCATAAAAAAGTAATTCCAGCAGGGAGATGCTGTATTAGTATTAGCAGTAAACCAATCCCATAAACTAGCTTCTCAATGGAAAGGGCTGGGAAAAATAGGGAAAAGATTATCAGAAACAAGCTGTGTGGTTAGTTGTGAAGGGAATAATATGTATCACATCAGTATCATAAGGGACCTGAACTTTTGAATGTTGTGTTCCTTGACAACGAGGAGACAGTTGAAACAACTGTAATTGTTTCCGGCCCTCATATGCCTTCCAGTAACTTGAGAAGTGGAAGGTACTAGAGATTTCTCAGCGGCCGGGAGAACTATATAAAAGCCGGGAAGAGCATCAGTTTCTCATTTTTTTGCTTCAGCATTAGTTCGGTGTATTAAGAGCTCTCCGTGGGAGCTTCGTCATGTTAGATGCGCTTTGAATTGTTCTGTGTTTAACTTCCTTAGTAGTTTGAGGTATAACTAGTGATTGTATTGTATGATACTAAGACGAGCTGCATGAGTATTTTTGTGAAAAGTTCCAGAACTGTAAAGTATTTCATAAAATTGGCAAAGCAACAATCTTGTGTTGGGCGTAAATTTAGTCAAGATCTCAATCGATTTCAAGGATAAACAAATACAGGTCCTTCTTCATCAGGAACAAAGAAATAATCTTGTAGATTTCTTTGCTTTTCATAGTGCCTGTACTATGTGCATTCAATCCGTTCCGAACGCGTACGCACGCTGCAATACCATAAGCAGCATAGTCGAACCATTTATTCATTTCGCATCCGCTTAAATGAATTATATTTAACGTTGTTGCATTTGAGAATCATGTTAAAAATAGTCACGCTTGGAACTAGTTGCACAACCCGATTATGCATGACCCGAAACTTAGGAAAAGAGAATGGTATCCGTAATGGAGCATATACATAGCTTTGGATAAGATTTGAGCCACTGAGCTGGCTTCCGTCCCGGGTGCAACGGGTATTTAAGATTAACGGGTTTAAGATTTTTTTTTTAATAATTTTGCGTAATTGGTACGGCGAAGTGCGCTAGAACTATATGTCTAGGAAAGGAATATCTTCGTAGAGGATACTTTTAGCGAAATTACGTAGTTCGTATTCACATTAGACTTAGAGATAACTGCAAAACGCCCAAACTGCCAACCATTCCGCCGAGATTCGAAGCTAATAGATCGAATTCTCGATTTTTAGCAGTCGTATCCATTCAGGTACTAGCGGTAGTAAATAAATGGCGCGTTAGATTTTGTTTTAAAAAAGCCAGCGATTGAAAAACTATTACCGTTACAGTATTAGTGACAGAGACCATGCATTTCGTTTTTCTTTGTCAGAGATCTAGCTTAGGTTCATAGAAAAGTAGTCTAGTTTCAAGTCTGTATTCTGTTGTCTGCCAGTTGTGTTATCTGTAGCAAGTGGACTGTTTTGTGATTGTTGCTGTAAAGTCTGCGAGATTTTGATAAAAAAGAGAGAAACAGGCATTATAAGAGATATTGGTATAGTAATGCCAAACATTTGTCATATATCTCTTGTGGGAGGATTGTAAAATGTGCTCGCAGACTTACATCTTTAAATAAATACCTTTAATACAGAAGCACGTCACTTTTCCGGAGAAAATATCTTTGTAAAATAATTCCAACGTAGGTGAACAGAAAATGTCTCCCTCTTATGTAAGATAATTGGTTTTTATATTCTTGTCCATTTATGTTCGATCTTTTACTTTGAGAGAAGGTCTGTTACCATTACTATGGTTCCTTTCTTTGTGGCGGCCCACTATCTTTTAGGTCCTGCATTGAGCTTTTATCGGCATCCATCGGGTATAGGGCGATCGATGCATGCGCTGTCTTAATCCGTTTTGCGGCGGCGGGCTTGAAAATTCCAGCTCCGTGCTCCTCTGCGGAAGAGAAGATTCAAAACGTCCCAGGCCTAGCCCGATATTTAATTATTTCCGCCCGTTTTATCCGGTTAGGTGGTCGCTTTGAATGCAGGCGTCGTTCACGCCGCTCCCTTCCACGTTCCTATTGTTGAGTGCTTACTCTTTCGTCTTCGGAATTCCGAAGGCTCGTTTCACCATCGTTGCTGAGCTCCGTTAAAAAACGCCGGAGAGCACTACGATTTAATAGTGGCCTCGGAGAAATAAAAATTTTGAAGACTTTTTCCCCTCTCCTTTTATTTGTTTTTATTTTATTTATTTTTTAAAGATCTTTTAGGTCATATAAAAATAGACGTGTTTCTCGCTTTCACTTTTTCTTAAAAGTGAATTTTATTTTAAATTCGATGAAAGCCTGTTTCCAATTACTTCTCTCTGTTTTCTCATTCTGCGTACGCGAGACGTTGATATGCGAGTATTTTTTTAACATATTATAAAATCTGCGTAATGATAAATCTATATAAAAGACGACATTATTGCTGAACAAAAGGAATATTGGATATCGTCCATAAAAATTGAATAACTTCGCTGAAATCTTTTGAAGTTATACACGTGTTTTGTTCGCGTGTTTTTTCATAAAATGCAAACGTAAAAACGTAAAGAAATAATACAGGAAATTATATTAAAATTCGCTAGAAAACTGTTTGTAGAGGGAGGCAGCAAGAGGGAAGATTAAAGAAACAATTTAGATAATTATTTATAAAAATTTGTTATTATTACTATTAGGCCAGTAAGCAAATGCAGAAGTAAAGAAATAAAGACCGTGGGAATAATTTTCATATATTATTAATTGAATTTATAAATTTATATTAATTACATTTTTTAGTTTAATTTATGCAATTTTTACCCCCTTTAATGGGTTCTAATGGTAACTTTTTGTAAACTATTTAACTCAATTCTTTGAAAGACCATTTTGTACATACCGTAATTTTCTTTTGCTGTAGTGCAGCCGACAAATTTTGTGTTTAATGTCTCGTTTTTATTTAATTCTTGCTTTGTTCTTACTTTTCATTTAATTTTTAATTTCTGCTTCACGTTGTTTCTAAGCGGTTTTATTCTGCCCATTCAAATGTATTCCTTTTCCGACCTTCACCTTTTTAAATCAAGTTTTAAAATCTTTACTTTCTGTAATTCTCCTCAGAGATGTTAACGGTTTTTCACTCGTTCTTTCCCGTTGCGTCGAAAGAATTTCAAAGCAAATTAATAAATTCACCACCTTGTGCTTGTAATTTTAACTTGGAAGTAAATCTTCTCTCCTTTGATACCGGTTTCCCAGAAACTCATATATTTTCTAAAAGCTTATGTCACAAGTAGAAAAAACTGTGAAATCTTAGGAGCAGAGGGACAAGCGTTTAGGAGTTATAGGGCCCACAAAGTATCAGAAAAGTGTTGGAAACTTGACACCAAAAATCGCTAAAATGCTCGTTTTACTTGTTTATATGAACTAATAATATGGTAAGAAGGTGGGGATCTCAATAAAAGGTGGGGAAGAAACAACTCGTTGAAAAGAAACATTATACATTGGGATGTTGCAAATGTGACTTGTTACTGACTTCAAACATGATCTATTACAAGAAACGACCAATGTGCAATTCATCAAATAAACAGTGAGACGGGCAGAAAGACAGTTCACAATGGGCACATTTAACAAAAGCGATAGCCTCACACTTTGCACACTCATCATTTGTCAATGAATCGAAGCAGTAATCCATTAGCGCAATCCACATTCCAAGTTCGTCGTCCAAGTATCTGCCTTTATAAAAAGCATACGTAATAAAGTTCTTAAAACGAGGAGCGCTGATTATGTTCGTTATGTAACGAACATAAGAGTTGTAGTGTCTGAAAAAATGAAAATCTAGAGGCTGGATCTTTCCCGTAAATCCTTCAGGTACTCTTCTTTTTGTAGGATTTTACCATCAAGTACTTCGGAAGCAGACAATGCATGAAAACATACAAGAAACAGAGAAGTCATTACGGAAATATGTCCATCTAATACACACTTCAGTGACACTTTGTGGGTTCTATAGTTCCTAAAGGCGTCTCCGTTTGCCCCTTCTGCTTGTGATATATGAAAAATGTATGGGTTTCTGGAAAACCGGTATCAAAGAAGAGAAGGTTTACTTGTCAGATTTAACAAGGCCCTTTTAGTCTTATCAGAATCAGATTTTACTATTCGAAGACTTCCTAGTTTAAGCTGAGTTCCTGTTATGTTTCGTTTTGGGAAGCCTTAGTCTTCGGATGAAATTTGTATTGTTTTCAAGTAGCTTTATCGCTTCGTTAATTTTAAAACAATCAACTTCACTTACTCCTTTGTAAGCAAGCCCTTAAAAAGAGTTTGTAATAAAATTGATAATTTTATGTATTATTATGCATTGTTAAATGTTTTTATCAAGTTAATGCTATTACTTGGACTAGACAGTGGCAAATCGCAAAGATAATCATAAAGTTTTCTTTCCTAAAAAAGGCAAATTTAAGTGACAAAAGAGTCAGTTTAACATTTAAGTAAATATCGTGTAAATTGAGTTACAAATTAAGTCATAAATATTAGACCACAGGTGATTTTGTAAATCTTAGACCAAACTTTAGTAAATGTTTCTGATTCCTAGATTCATAGATTTCATTTTCATGTACTCAGAAAAAAACTGAGTTTTGGTTATCATTGTTTTTCTGCTGTAAGGGTTTGAATTATTAAAATCTTAATCGAACTGGAGAATTTAAAAATATAATTTTTAGTAATGTACTCTATTTTTCCCTGTATTGTTGCATATTTTTTTTTCTTTAGTTGCGAGCAAATGGGATGTACAGCACATGTGAAATGGCTATGGGTCAATTCGAACAGTTACTTAATAATAAAGGCTTCTTGTTGACATTCATCAAAACGCTGGAAGTACAGAAATCTTTCAGTTTCAGAGACAGGTGAGACATTATCTAGCTGTCTTAAACGGAAAGTTAAGTTATGTAAAAACTATGTATGCGTATGTTTATTTAAATTATGTAAATTATTTTCGGGCTCTAAATTTGAAAGTATAGAATAAAGCATATAATTTGGTACTATGCCCTGCTGTATTGATAAAATTCTATGAAATTAAAAGCACTTTTTAAGCTACCGTATTTGACGGCATATAAGACGCACTGGTATATAAGACGCACCCTTATTTAGACGGCCACACACAAGGAAAAAAAGTTTCAATAGCGTGGTTTCTTTTAGTTCTCACGTTTCGTAAAAGCCAAATAAACAATTATTGAATGCAATTACCTTCACTTATAAGACTGTGTCCTTCACGTATAAGACGCAGTTAACTTTTTTGAGACCAAATTTAGGAAAAAAAAGAGCGTCTTATATGCCGTCAAATATAAGACGCACTGGCATATAAGAAACGCACCCTTATTTAGACGGCCACACACAAGGAAAAAAAGTTTCAATAGGGTGGTTTCTTTTAGTTCTCACGTTTCGTAAAAGCCAAATAAACAATTATTGAATGCAATTACCTTCACGTATAAGACGCTGTTAACTTTTTGAGACCAAATTTAGGAAAAAAAGAGCGTCTTATATGCCGTCAAATATAAGACGCACTGGCATATAAGACGCACCCTTATTTAGATGGCCACACACAAGGAAAATAAGTTTCAATAGCGTGGTTTCTTTTAGTTCTCAAGTTTCGTAAAAGCCAAATAAACAATTATTGAACGCAATTACCTTCACTTATAAGACTGTGTCCTTCACGTATAAGACGCAGTTAACTTTTTTGAGACCAAATTTAGGAAAAAAAGAGCGTCTTATATGCCGTCAAATATAAGACGCACTGGCATATAAGACGCACCCTTATTTAGATGGCCACACACAAGGAAAAAAAGTTTCAATAGCGTGGTTTCTTTTAGTTCTCACGTTTCGTAAAAGCCAAATAAACAATTATTGAATGCAATTACCTTCACGTATAAGACTGTGTCCTTCAAGTATAAGACGCAGTTAACTTTTTTGAGACCAAATTTAGGAAAAAAAGAGCGTCTTATATGCCATCAAATATAAGACGCACCCTTATTTAGACGGCCACACACAAGGAAAAAAGGTTTCAATAGCGTGGTTTCTTTTAATTCTCACGTTTCGTAAAAGCCAAATAAACAATTATTGAACGCAATTACCTTCACGTATAAGACTGTGTCCTTCACGTATAAGACGCAGTTAACTTTTTTTGAGACCAAATTTAGGAAAAAAAAAGAGCATCTTATATGCCGTCAAATATAAGACGCGCTGGCATATAAGACGCACTTTTGTTTAGATGGCCACACACAAGGAAAAAAAGTTTCAATAGCGTGGTTTCTTTTAATTCTCACGTTTCGTAAAAGCCAAATAAACAATTATTGAACGCAATTACCTTCACTTATAAGACTGTGTCCTTCACGTATAAGACGCAGTTAACTTTTTTGAGACCACATTTAGGAAAAAAAAGAGCGTCTTATATGCCGTCAAATATAAGACGCACTGCCATATAAGACGCACCCTTATTTAGACGGCCACACACAAGGAAAAAAGTTTCAATAGCGTGGTTTCTTTTAGTTCTCACATTTCGTAAAAGCCAAATAAACAATTATTGAATGCAATTACCTTCACGTATAAGACTGTATCCTTCACGTATAAGACGCAGTTAACTTTTTTGAGACCGAATGTAGGAAAAAAAGAGCGTCTTATATGCCGTCAAATATAAGACGCACTGGCATATAAGACGCACCCTTATTTAGACGGCCACACACAAGGGAAAAAAGTTTCAATAGCGTGGTTTCTTTTAGTTCTCACGTTTCGTAAAAGCCAAATAAACAATTATTGAATACAATTACCTTCACGTATAAGACGCAGGTAACGTTTTTGAGACCAAATTTAGGGAAAAAAAGTGCGTCTTATATGCCGTCAAATACGGTAATGATTTTTTGGTAATGATCTCGCATTTAAGTTGCTTTCTGTTGTTGCATTTAAATTTAGGAAAATTATACGTTTATAGATTTAAAATTTTGGTTTATTGATGGCTGCATGATATTTTGTAAGATCTAAAATTAGTGAATTAACTTCATAGCCCATATTAAAGGCATGACAAACTGGAGGATCGTAAATCTTTATGAGTTAGATTTTGTTTTTCAGCTCTGCCGAAAATCCTATCTAGTTTTGATTCAATATATTGCTAATAAAGATGTATTTAGAATTATAAAAAATGTTCTGAATTTAATAATTAAAGAAATGAATAATTTTCATATTTATACGTGCTGTTTCGTTAATGCTAATATGATTATTTTCTTTTAGGGTTAATGTGGCTTCTCTTTTAATGGTTATACTGATGGAAAAAATGGAATACGCCACCGAGTAAGTATTCGTTTCCTTATATGAATTTTTAAAATAGTCCTATTTGAGAAATTTTATCAGGCGAGATTGTAAATGTAGTTAAGTACAAACTAGTTTGTTATCCGGCGTATTATTTTAAACTAAATTACTACATGAAGATTAACGAATTAAGAAACACACAGCAATAAGCTTAAGAAATACAATATTATTATCAGATTTGTTTAAAAATAAGAAGTACTGATTTTATTCAGAGGCATATAAAAATTCATATAATTTTGGATGACTGTGGGAGAATTTTATTTCATACCGTCGTTGTTTGGATCCATAGGCGATCTGTGGAAGACAGAAATGGGATCATACCATTTAATCTTTGAATGACCGTAATCTATACATAAGCGAAGTTTTGCTTACCTGTTCCAGAGTTACGGAATTTACTTTTGGAAGGGTTCTGTTTCATCCATCTATGAGGGATATAGGCCAAGAAAATGAATAACACCGTGAAAAGATATTCATTTGATCCAGAGAAAAAGAGGAAATAAAGCACGAAGGAAGACTATATATATATATAGGATATTATGTATTATGTATTACGTATTACAGTCAAAAGTCTTTAATCCGGACGTCCATAATCCGGAATGATCTATAATCCGGAAAGCTACACGCATGCGCATAATACCTTTACGCATGCGCGTTTAATGTATAACGGACCGTATAAGCTAGGCTAAAATTATCTAATTATCTATATAATACCTTTACGCATGCGCGTTTAATGTATAACGGACGGTATAAGCTAGGCAAAAATTATCTAATTATCTATTTCAGTTAATGTTCCAAATTGCGTTGTTCCTTAATCTTCTAATTGGATCCGTCTTATTATTTTTTGCAGACTGTTAGAGCACTTTTATAAAAAGTAAGCTTGAACTTTTGATTATGTCAAAAAGAGTTTCCGATTCTGGAACTGCCAAAGCATTTACAAAGCGAAAGCATGTTTCGATGTACCGCTTCCGATAGTGAAGAAAGTGACAGAGAGGTTATTGAAAACGAAAAAATTTCGATTGACAAATTAGACGTATTCTCGACACAGCAATTATAGGACTTGAACAGCGGAACTAAGTAACTGAACAAGAAATTATGTCTGTTTATAGAATTAAAGAGAAAGTATTAGCACATAAAACGAAGCAACTTAAACAACTTACATTGAAAGAAATGTTTAATAAAGTAAAAAAATAAATATTAAGCTTTTTTTTCGTAAATTTTGATACTCTTTAGATCATAATTGCTCTTTATTTCATAAATTAGGGTTTCATATTTTTAATTTTATAATTTTTGCATGCCATCTTACCATATTTAAACTGATGGTAAACTATAATCCGGAAAAAACCGATAATCCGGAATCGCCGAAGTCCTGACGAGTCCGGATTAAAGACTTTTAACTGTGTGTATATATATATATATATTATACATATTATAACTCTAAAATAAGACTTATGACAATTTGTATTCACGAGCAGAATCATGGGAGTGTACATTTTAATTGTAACATAATATAGTTTTTAGGAACTTTATGATTTTAACTTTTTGCCGCAGAAATTAAGAGAATTTTATAGTGATTAAAGGATGTTGTTATATTGCTTTCGTTTTGACTGTAGTTTAAATAATGTGATATTAACTATATGGAAATAGAAAATCTTATATTCAATTTAAAATTATCAACCTGAAGCACTTGCACTTGAAGTTACAGAAGGCTTGACTGCTTTAAAAGAATTAATAGTAAACCTTTTTAGGGAAAAGAGTCTAATTAATACTGTTTGATGTGTTTAGCATAATCGGTAGATTGAATTTAAACAAGGGTATAAAAATTATTTTTGCACGTTTGTAAACACCATTTAATAAAATCCTTGCCGCTGCTTCCTATATATAAGAACTTTTTGGTAACATGACATTTTTATAATCAGCTTATAAGGTATTTCTCCTTCCGTTCCTTCATGGTATAACTGGAGCCCACTCGACGTATATTCAGGAGGTCTTGAGTTCGAATCTCGCCGATGGCATTACGGATTTCTACGATTCCCTTGGTTCGACAAAATTTTAAAAAGGACTGATAAAAGGGTGGTGGACAATAATTCATCAACACCAAGATTTGGCGACTAGGTCCCCTAATCGCTAGTCGCCCTTTAAAAGGGGGAGTATATAAGGTATTTTCTGCCACCTTTTCGCATGACTTCGTGATGTAACTAGAAGTACGCTTGACGCGTATTCGGGAAGTCCGGGGTTCGAATCTCGGCGAGGGCACTGCACATTTTTCGCGTTTCACCTACGATGTATAACTTATTGACTCGACAAACGTATAAACAAAGCTATGACGTTCAAGTTCTCATCTCTTGTTGTTTCTATTTATCTTTTAAATACAATTTAATGCATATTAAATTAATACAAATATTGTAAATTTTCTTATTATAATTAATTCCTTTTGACTGATGTAATTGAGTCCATATCAGTAAGTTTTTTCCTGTTGCCCTAGAGGCACTCTTGGCCGTACGCTAAACTGAAATTAGTTACCAACTTTATTAATCATATTTTACGAAGTGGCCTTTCGAATTTTATCTTTTCGCTCATTATCTAGATGCGACGCATAAATGCTTTAACATTTCTGAATTAAATTAAAGAGCTCTAATGGCAACGTTAGGCTTAATCCAGAATCCACCGCTTTTATATTTTCCTGTGCGTAAAATTTCGCTTTGGTGGTTTCATGTGTCCGGAATTGTTACTCCCTCTCGATTACTCCTCGAAACAAGATTCGGTGTCCACTTTAATGAGCGTGCAGAGAAAATAAAATTAAAAAGTTATAGTGTCACTACATGCGCGACTCTCTCTCTTGGATGAAATTCGATGAGTTGGATGCTTCATGTAGTGTGTTCTTCTATTCTAGGGTTCTGCGGGCCTTGCTGTTGCAGTTGATAGAAAAATCGGTGAACACCAAGCACCCTCAACTCATGTTACGAAGGTAAGAAGGGCGTTTTTCAGCTATCTTAATTAGGAGGGGCCGTTAAGTCACTTTTAATTGGCCCTCGTTATACTTTCGCCGACTTCAAACGTAATTAGCGATACTGACGAAGGCCTTATTTTATTTTTTATCTAGGACCGAGTCCGTTGTGGAGAAGATGCTGACAAATTGGATGGCCCTGAGCATGTACGACTACCTCAAGGTGAGTTTTCTCGTTAAGGGACTGAGAGTCTGGACTCGGTTAAAAAAAAAAAAAAAAAAAAAAAATGCACGATTCCGCTACCGGACGTTCGAAAAGAAGAATTTTGTTTCTTTTGTACACGTCATTAGTGCACCGAAAAGGAAACTAGAATGTCGTATCGAATGAAATTTATTTGATCTGCCGACATTCCTATTCCGCCGTCGAAATTCTTTGTTAAATTCCGAATCTTGCAGTCTTTCTTGAGAAGTTAAATAAAAGTCTAAATACAAACAACAAAACTGTGGTTTGCAGTGTTGAAGAAACTTGTAAATAACACGATTTACTCTTTACAAAGAAGTCTTAGGTATGCTGTAATCCTTCTTTTGGCCACAAGTTGAGTTTGAGGTTACTATAAATGCAGAAAGTGATTACTTTTATGTTTTTATAGACTACGTCTTAGACTTGCGGTATTGAATTAATGCCCACGTACTTAATCTCATCCGGTCTTATCTAGAATTGCGGTTTCTTCACCCCCCGTGAGCTTTAAATACTTAATTAGACTATAGAAATATTGTTAAATATGCAATTTCTAAAATACGAAGCACATATTTTCTGTCAGTAACAACGTTTGTGAAGTATTACCCTGTGATAATTTTTACCGATTTTCGTGTGCAATGTATATTTTTAATGCTAAAGTTTCGTTGACCCACACGGTGGTTAAAAATCGTAAGTGGTCTAACCGAGCTTCGCCGCTAGGCAACCAGACCTTGCTAGGTCAGAAAGTTAGTGTTTAAGGATTTTGCCTAAATGTTCTAACTTTTCAACTTTATGCCACTTAGTATAAGAGCCGAACTAATCACAACGAAGCAAATATCGGTCGACGGTTTCGATAAGTCAGCTACACATTTAGGAATGCGTAGCTTTTTCCCTTCTGAGACTGGATATAGCAAAATCGTACTAAACAGGTGTGAATGGACTTAGGACTTTTATGCCTTAAACCACACAGCTTTAGGCTCCGTTCAGACGGTGGTATACATGCCGAAGCTGATTCAAGCCGACCTTCGTTGCTACGTCACAAGAACTGGTTTAGGATCTTTGGCATAAAGTTCGAAGTTTACAACTTTATGCCGACTTGATATAAGAGTCGACCAATTAGAACGAACGCGCGAAACCTGAATAGGAAAACAGAGCAGGAAAGCGGTAGACACATCCACGCATGCGCAGATTTAGCTCTTGTAATTGGCTACGACTTATACCTTGTCTAGCAGGTCTGAAAGGGACTCCCGCATTTTATGCCTTTATACCACCGTGAGCTTTATAAACCTATATTTTATGACATTTATACCATCGTTTGAACGGAGTTTTATGACGACAAACGCGTCGTGTGAACAAAGCTGACGACACTATTGATTTTAAGTCAGCCTTTTAATCTCAGAACCACCAGAAGGGGGGGGGGAGCTGTCTTTGTAAGAAAATAAAATGTATTAAATAAAACGCAGAAAAATGTTTTTTGAATAATCGACAAATTAAAAAGATTGATCTTCCAATTTTAAATTGGTAATTTGGAAGGGAATAAGTCGTAAGTAATTTCGTACTAGGAAAAATCTCCGGTTCTGCGATGGCATCGATTTTAAAATACACTTCTTTTTTAAGGGCAGTTGTAATGCGATGAGAGGGAAAGGTGCGGAAAATGAGATAAGAACATCCTGCTCCTTTCCGTTCTATTATTTGTGCTTAAAATTTCGTATTTTCTTTTTGCTTTTCTAAATATGTCTTCAAAGTATGCTGATTCTAGTTTCCTTCATTTATGGACAAAACATCTAGGCTGTTATTTGAATTATTCTGTTCTTGTTTCATTACATCTTCTTCAATAAATTATGCTTTTGATCTAAGTGAAGTATATTTATTTCCTTCTTTCGTTAACAGAATGAAGCTGGCAGCTCTCTGTTTCTGTTGTTTAGTGCCATCAAGCATCAAGTTGAGAAGGGTCCTGTGGATGCCATCACTCACGACGCCCGTTATTCGTTATCCGAAGAACGGCTTCTCAGGGAACAGATCGACTATTCTATTGTTGTAAGTACTTACAAAATTTGATTTCAGCTATCACTTTATTACTATATATAGATATTTGTAATAATAAAATTCCATAGTCAAGAATACACTTAAAATTCTAACTGTATGTTCTTTTCATTTTTAATGGCGAGCTGCGTTATTTCAAACTTGAAGGCCTGCTGTGATTTTTTTCCTTGGTGTTATTCATTTTCTGTTTACATATCTCCTTAAATAGTTTGAAAGATATCGGCAGTGCTAAATCATCAATTATTTATTACAGTTAGTTTCATTCGTTGTCCATGGCACTTGTTATACTCATATATGCAAAGAAAATAAATACCATATTTGCCGGCGTGTAAGACGCGCCGGCCTATAAGACCCACCCCCTTGTTTATGCACATTTTTGAAGGATAAAACTTTATCACTGATCATTATAATGAATTTGTAGTATTTTAAATATAAAGTAATACAAATACAAAGTAATACTTTCTGCAAATACCTGGGAAAGAACACCTTTTAATCTTCTTCGTCAAAACCCAGACACTCATCTCCGGAGGCATATTTCACAAGTGCACATCAGCATAGCCACTGAGGGAGGGGTTTCGAAAATGGACCAATGAGCTGCCATTGCTCTTATGACGCTAAATCTTCGTGCATGTGAGCGTATGTTGTTTGCGTTTTAATTTAATTTGTTTCGTAGTTATAAATATATGGCGTAATAGTAGAAAATCTCGTAGTGCTTTCGTATTCTGAGTTTGATTAATTGCTGACATTTCACTTTCGCGATTTTTATCACGCATTAATATTAGATTATGTTCACGGCATATTATTATGTGGATTAAAAGAATTCAAATGTATATATTTTTTTAATTAAGCTGAGAATGACTGAAAGTGTTACGATTAATCTAGTATTTTCTTATTTCAATGCTTGCATTCTTTTGATTTTTAAAGTGTAAGATTCAGAACACATATGATCTGATTATATCCACTGTTAACATTAAAAATTATATGTGAATAAATTGAATATACTCGTTGTGAAAACGATAAATTCACTCTGTTTGATGAGTATTTCTTGTGTAGACAGTACATTTAAGAGTGAGCACTTATTAAATGTGAAATTTAATGCACTAAATGTATACGAATGCAAATTAGTAAAGTTCACTTTGAATAAAATTCTGCATTGGTAATTGTTATAGACTGCAATAAAAAGTGCTGACTTCTATTTACATATATAATTGGTGTCAATATTTTTCTCATACGCATAGTTTTATGTAAAGATTGCATTTGGGCTCAGATGTTTATCACATATTTCTTCATTCATCTTATATACCACTTATTAAGTAATATTTCACATCGATATTTTTGCGAAGTATCCAACATGTGTTTGTATTTATTTCAACCAGGTAGTGATGAAATCTTCATAACTTCCTATATTTGATCTAACTTCGCAATGAAAAGTTTCAGAAGCAAACGACGATGCTTTAATTATTTTGTACAGAAAATTGCGTGGCAGAATATTTTCAACCATCTTGCTTAAGTCTTAAAGCACGCGAAAGGTCATGTGACCTGACAAGAAATATTACTGGATGCTCATTGGTCCAGCCTAGAAACCACTCCCTTGGTGGCTGCACAGATGTGCACTTGTGAAATATGCTCTCCGGAGCTATCTGAAGATTCACTTGAAAGCTCTTCTAAATCAGCATCTGAGTCCTCATACAACAAATTGTCCTTTGTACCATCCAGGGCGTTACTAATGCCGCACTTCTTAAATGATTTAACCACTATCCCTGTTTTCGCACCATCCCATGAAGCTTTGACCTATTCAAAATCACGTAACTCCGAATAGAGAAAATTAATCCAGAAATAAATGTAATCAGAAACTGAGTGTCGGCGTATAAGACGCGTCCCGTTTTGCAGACCTATTTTCAAAGGAAAAAGTTCGTCTTATACGCAGGTAAATACGGTATTTCAGGAGCATACTATTTAATTTGCAACTGAATACTTAGTTCTGATAGAGTTTGAACCGTTGGACGGCTAGAGATTTCTTGAATACTTGAATTAACGCAGGACCATAACTATGTTACCGCTGTCCGATTCTAAATGCATCTTCGTGATACAAGAGGACATTTCTTTTTATATCATCGTCTAAAATTTCTGTCATATTTTATATCATATCTTATACCCATACTATGACTTCAAACTGCTTGTAGTTGTCTCGTTCGTGCAGCGTATGCTCGAATGACGTTAAATAAAAAAGAGATCTTTAAGTTATTCATTCACCTGGAGCTGAATAGCGAAGCAAAAAGTTCTCAAAGGCTTCTTTTTCCGTACTGCTGTAATGTTTGATTTCAGCTCGTCTGGTTTCTTCCGCATGAGTGATCAAGTTGTTGTCATTTGAATGACACATTGCGTCATCGAAGGCGTCCCTTGCGGCGAACCCGCCTTTTTATTCATTGCATTCGTATTAAACAAAGCAGTGGGAGGTCTCATGCTTCTGGCGTTGTGACTGGTTGTAATAAAAAGAACCGGTGTGGGATTGAGATAGTCGATAGGATGTCATCTAAATAGAAGTCCACTTTGATAGACGTCTTTGCATAATTTCTGCTAAATTAGTAAGATACTTATCTCAATTATAGAAAGGATTTATCATGCGAGTACAATACAGTCGGACTTAATGAGAACGAGAAGCATACGGATGAGAGACTTGTTTAAATAATCAAACTTCTTAGCTTCGAGACCATTGACGTAGCTACTGGGAGGCAAAGGAGACATCTGTTCCTGTGCGCAGCATCCAAGGGACGACAAATTGATGTTACGAAATTTTAGAATTAGATGTTTCCCGTTCTTGGCAAGCAGTAGGGGCGCAAAATCTTCAGCTGTCGCTGGGCGCTGAAAACCTGAGCTACGACTCTGATCGAGACATATTGTTATCCGAACTTAGTGGAGGTAAAGTGACTATTATCCGAACTTAGTATAACCAAAATAAGTTAATAAACCTGTTTGCATTTTTAGTCCAAAGGGATTTGAATCCCGAAGGACTATTAGTTCCGTTTTGGCATTTTGCGTCGGACTCATAAATGTCGGTTCACTTTTCAAACTGTTGCCACAAAATGTTAGAGTCCTGCATTATATTTGAAGAAATTAAATAATGAAAAATCTGCATAAATGTATGTATATTTCTCGTATTGTGATAAAACAACGGTACATAGAGTCATCGAATTTTGAATAACGTAATCCTCCAACGAATATGTGCATGTGGAAGACCAAATTTGAAATTTGTTTTATGATCGATTTCCTATTTTTTAAAACTTTGATGACGAATTTTTGATTAACAAACTCAAGGATTTCAAAGCGAGCAATGGCAACGTTGTGCAGAAAAAAACATTTTTATCTCTCCCAGCGCGTGAGTCTCTGTATCGGAAATTCTAAAGATATGCTCGTTTTAAAACTATTTTGCGATATTTGCTGTTGCACTGGATCTTATGGTTTAAGTGCGAGGAACATGATATTTAATAAAGAAAGGTAACACAAAAAATGTTAAAAAAAACGCCCCTTTGGACGTAATTTAAAATCTGAAACATTTCAGATTTTGTTTTTTTTTTTTTTTTAAATTTTTTTTTTTTTTTTTTTTTTTTTTATTTTTTAAGGTTATTTACTACAAAGCAAACATTTTTTTCACAAGTGTTGCGATATTTATTTTTAAACAGGAAGTTAATAGTTCTTCTGGGAAAATTGCCCCTTTGGACTGAAAAGTCCAAACGGAACCGGCAATGGTTAAAATGGATATTTCCGTTGAAATATGATATTCGAAATGTTTCCCAATTACAGTACTTCCTTTACTTCGCACAAGGTAGCAAAACGAAATTTGAAATTACTGAGAAAACACAGCGGTCGAGATCATCTGATCACCGGCTATCATAACTATTAATCTACGAGACGTTAATCACTTCTGTTTATTAAGTGTATTTCTTATCGTGATGTAATGATGAATTACCCTTTTCAAAGGCGGCAATAAAATGACGCCCAGTTTTTAACTCTATATTATAATAGCAGGGTAATAAATAATTTAAATAAGATTAAATGATATTTATTTAGCTAATCTGTTTCTGGTGTTAACGTGAAGCCACAGGTAATTAATTTTCAGCTTCTGGGAAACTTTTCATGATACATGATATGAAAGTATGCGCTATCTAGCGCCGGGAATTGCTCAACGTAATTTATATGGCATCGTCTTTTAACTTTTAACAAATCTACAGTCACAGTTAAGAATAGCTCTCACTATTATCTTTAAAATAATAATAATAAATAAATAAAAAATAAATCAGTCGTTCCTTTTTTTTTAGCCCAAAGGGCTGTTAGTCTCAAAACGGCATTTTGCGTCGCTTCACTTTCTGTGTTGAATCACTTTTCAGACTGTTGCCACCAAATATTATCGCCATGTATTATATTTAAAGAAACTAAATAATGAAGAATTTGCATGAATGTTCCCCTCATTGTGAAAAAGCAACGGTACCTAGAGCCATCAAATTTTGAATCGCTTAATCCTTCAACCGAATGTGGGCACTTGGAAGCTCGAATTTTGAATTTGTTTTATTATCTATTTCAATTTTTTTTTTAAAACTTAACGAACTTTTGATTAGCAAACTCAACGATTTCAAGGCGAGAAATGGCAACACTGTAAGGAAAACAACATTTTTATCTCCAGCGCGCGAGACTGCGTATCGGAAATTCTAAAGATATGCTGTTTTAAAATATTTTGCGATTTTGCTGTTAAATGGAATTTGTGGTTTAAGGGCAAAGAATGTGATATTTAATAAATAAAGATAACACGCAAAACGTTAAAAAGCGCACTTTTGGGCGTAATATAAAATCTGAAAGATCTTTCAGTTTTATTATTATTATTATTATTATTATTTTATTTGTTATTTAGAGGCAAATTAATTTTTATGTTACTTTAAGGCAACTGCTTTTTCTTCTTAAAACCTCTCACGTATTTTATTTTAACCTAAAAGTACCAACCG